GAGATTCCCCCATGGACCTTGAAACGAGATCTTCATCTCCAGCGAGGAACGCAAACTGAATTATGCAATCTTGAACTTCCATCTCACTCAAGCGTTTTTCAGTGGGAGGAGAGATACTTATCAACTGAAATTGTGTTTAGAGATTACGCTCTTATTTATAAGTAGATCCCACAAGTGGAGGGACCAAGAAGGTGCTTGAAAGGAGTTAGGGTTTGAAGCAAATTAGCACGAGAGGTTGATTTGATTTTCTCTGTCTTGTTGCTCTATGTTTACACACACATTTTAATTTGTAAAAGTAAATGCCTTTTTAAAACCACATTTTGGGCATTTTTGTAGCATGCTTGCCATAACATTTTTCTGAAAGCATGAAGTCACCTCAGATACAAACAATTGGTTTAAAGAATTGTTTCTGGAGCACTTAAAAACACTTTGGAAAGCAAAGACAAAATAAATAGTTTATCACTTAACAATGTTTTGAAGCATATTTGGATAGGTACATTTGCACAAAAGCTACCTCCTTTCTCACAAGATATTTAGGTCTTGGTGCATCATGTTATTTACCATGTAAGGAAATACTTTGTAAAACTAAAAGCAAGAAAACAGGTAGCTTACAAGTCAATGTCCTTTAATACGTATTATTAGTGCAATTATAGCATCTTTTTTTCATTCTTCATAGCAGATAGCCGCTTATGGATATTATTTTTAGGTTCACGATACTGTGGTTTAAGTTGCTAAGGCCTTCCTGAACTCCTAATCCACAAAGTGTTGGGTAAAGAGTACGGGTGAGGAAGAGGCTCGCCATGCTAATTGATTAATCCTTGCCATGGGAGGGCAACAGAGCAAGGGATCATCTCAGGATATTTATAGCATTTTATTTTCAGAACAATCTCTCTTTAGGCCTGTCTTCATCAGCTTGAGTTTGCTTATGTGTATAGCTTGTGTGGTCTACCGTTGACGGCTGTACTTTAAAACGTGTTTTACAGTGCGGGTAAAATTTGAAATCCGTGCACTGATCGTACAGTCAGTCTCTGAAGTGCGCAAGCGCCAATGTCGGGTTTATTTTTCAAGCTTTTTTGCGATGAGCGTATCGGTCTGGTGAATACGTAATTTCAAGCTTCGGGAAAATAGCGGGTTATTTGGCAAACTCGAGCTGATGAGGACTGGCCTTATCTGAAATTTTTCAGTGGCATTTGGGATATCGGAGGCTTTGCTGTATTTGATAAACATTACCACTGGGTGATTACTTCCTTCATCCTTCATCCTTCCTTTATCTTTCATCCTTCATTCTTCATATTGAATAAAAAGGAAGAGAGATTAAGAAGAAGAAAGTAATGGAACTATAGAATGACTTCATGCCCTTATAATTCATGTGACCTTGACCCATGGTAGTGGTACATTCATCTGTGATCTACTGAAGATTAGAACCTACTACCTGTAAGACACAAGTCTGCTTCGTCATACTGAAGAAGATCTCTCAACATTCTAAATTGCTTGAGACATAAAGGATGAATAAGGGATTAGGGGGCGGGTGTGGTGCTTTAGTAATCTTACTATCAAAATACCCCCCAAAATATAAACAGAAATACCCTGTGAACATAGTCATCACTTTCGTTTGGCTCTATATGTTTTTTTTTGTTTAAAGTTTTGTTTAAAGTTTTTTTTTTAATGGTAGGTCTTTAATAGAAATTTAGACCAAAAGTTTATTTCATTGAAATAAATAATATGAAATACTAAAAATCTCATTCATATATGACGTGGTAAGCTGCTGCCAAAAGAACTTTTACCTTTTTCATGTATATGAATGGCAAGTGTTCGCAATGAAGGTGCTAAGCATATTCACTGAGTTCTGAACAGAAATGTGAAGTATATTACACACTTTTTGTGAAGCGTAATACACTTTATGTTATCGTTGAAAAACGGCTGCGGTTTGCCGTTTCTTATCTGTAGGAGGCTTAAGAGTCCCAACTCGCTTTATACATTTTTGATTTACATTGACTTAAAGCAAATGCTCATTCTCCAATAAGTGCTTTAACTATGCATGAAAGGAGTATCATTCCTACAATATGGAGATTGAATGTAAATATACACAAGCTGTCAAACAGAGTAGAGTAAAGATTCAACCACATCTGTAACCATGACGAGAGAGAGAGAGAGAAAGAGAGAGAGAGATAGAGAGAGTGGGGGTGAATGCACTGGGATCTAAGTGCATTTTGAGAAATGATATAAAGGGATGGCATCAATTGGAATGAGTGCAGGTGTGTTTACACTGTGCAGTGAGGTGTGATGTACTCCGATGCTATCCTCCTCCTTGGCCAACCCATCCCCCTCAAAAAATAAGAAAACCAACATATCCCCATCTCATCATTGCAAGACCGGTCATCTTAATAAATGTTTACACTTGACAGGACTGTGCATTGGAAGTGCATATGGAATTCATGATGTACTCCAATTGTATCTTCTTCCTACCCCCCCCCCCTCCCCCCTCTAAATCCATCTCACCTGAACAAGACCAGTTATTCCATCTTAATAAATGTTTACACTTGATTGTGCAATGAAAGTAGGTTGGGCATTGATGATGTCACCGGTCCATGCCTCCTCCGGTCCATGCCTCAAGGGAAGTCAAGATTGCAATAAGCTGTGAACTCTTCTCATTCAAACAGAGATTCAATGCAGACAAACCAAAACATTGGTGGCAGGAGCATAAGTGCAGATGATCATCAACTATCATTCTTTTGTTTCGATAAAGCTGCACTAATATTTGTGAATCTTGTTTGAAGACTGAATCTCTGTTGAATAAAGCAGAGCAAAATGTCATTTTCTTCTCCTGCTGTATGGAGAATACTTCAAAATTTGTTCTTTACCACTCTTTGGCAAGTCGAGATAAATAATAAAAACAATTGAAGAAAAGAATTCTCTTAAAAAATAATAGTTTTAGTGTAATTTTGACTTATCCCCTTTCCAAATTGGAAAATACTTCTAAAAGGATACATCTTTTTCTACACACTAAATCACTATTTTGGGGCTAAAGCTTTCCACTGTAAATTTTAAGGAAATAAAATGAATTCATGCATGATTCAACCACTTTTATTTTTTACTAAAATTTGTACAGAGTGCTTTAATGATAAGCTGATGTTTATAGATGGTGAGCAGGTGATAATGATAGATATAGTGAAAATGGGATTTAGATTGATCACACTATCCTTAGGCAAACCAGAGTTTGGGGTCCATGAATTCTATCAGTGATGGGCTTGGACAGTCTGGATTAAAGAAGTGAAGAGCTTGAGGCCAAGAATGCTTGAATGAAAGATTGGACAGTACAGAGGGAGAGGCATGGCTGAAGACATCAATAAAGTCAATCCAATCGACCTAGGAGGGAGAAAGATTGAAAAGAGGTGGAGCGGAGATTGCTGGATGCTTTCGTGATGAGAATATCTAACGGTACCTGATCATGCATTTGATGCAGGCATTTTGGATTTAAGGTGTCACAAATGCCAAATCGATTACCCTGATAAACATGAATAGGATACTAAACTAGATAGAACATCTTCCTACATGTTGTGTGGTGTGCTAATAAGAGATCCATTGCCTTGATAAACGAGATGCTATTAAAGACTGGAAGAGAAGGAAAGGGGCGAGGCATATCGTAATAGATATTAGGTGCTTATTAAACCATGAGAGATTTAGGAGGAGAGAATATGGGCGGGGCATATGGTGCTGCTTCATAGGGTGGGTGTAAAGCTGTTCGTTGGAGCATGGTAGTAAGGTGAGATTGATGAGAAACTCAGTGGTGAGACATTGGGCGCATCAATCATCAGAGGTAGATGAACAATGATACAGTAAAACATTTTTGTAGTCAATATCGTGCAAGATATAAAGAGAAAGGGTGATTTGAATGAGAGAAGGGAGATGGAGAGAAAGATGAGGGGAGAAATACAGAGATGGAAAGAGAAGGTGATACAGAAAGAGAGGAGAAGAGAGAGAGAGGGAGTAAGAGAGGTAGAGAGAGAGAGAGAGAAAGAGAGAGTAAGAGAGTTAGAAAGAGAGAGAGAGAGTAAGAGAGTTAGAAAGAGAGAGATTTAGAGGGCGCAAGCATGTGTGTGTGTGTGTGTGTGTGTCTGTGAGAGAGAGGGAAGACTAACGATCAAGTCAAGTTCTAACTTCCCTTCCTAGGGATAATATTCAGAATAAGAATATTGGATTTCAGAGATCAATCATAGTATAGTTATGATATATACCAGGTTTGAGAGAGAGAGAGAGAGAGAGAGAGTACAGGTGATATGGTGTGATATTCTCACATATGGGAGCCTTCTGTAAAGGTGTAGAAACCTAGCCATTAGGTGCTTATATCATCTTGGCTGTCAGGTCACACTCATCCAGTTTCTGGGGACAATAAGTCTGTATTTATTCCTGAATGACAGTGGATTTTAATGAAAATCAAATGTATTTTCTTTCACATAGAAATTTGTTATGTAATTCATTGATTTTAATTTACTTGATATTTTTGCATTATTTTGCAAACCTACCGGACACGATTATTTCAAATTTATAAGGTGAAACGTACTGCTTAGTTGCAACTGTTAATATTTGTTATTTACTTCATTTCCTGTATAATGATGTTTGACACTATTCTTGTACGATGGTTTTGATTATTAAAGTTACTCATCATGTGAGAGATAGAGAGAGAGAGAGAATTTCATATTTGGACATTCAGAACTAACTGTCATTATTCGATCTTCTGTTCTCTCTCTGAACTCACTTTTCCTTCCTCCCTCCCCCTCCCTCTTCCCCTCCCCCTTCCCCTCCCCCTCCCTTCCCTTCCCACTCTTCTGCCCTCCCTCCTAAACATTCGACTTTGATTTGATAGATATTGTACATTTTCCATAGCCTCAAACCCATATTATCCTGAGCGACAATTCACGGGGGTCTAAAAAGACTGTGTAAACTCAATAACATGACATCACCATATATTCTAATCAATCGATTTCTTATCATTCTTCTAGGAGAAGCCTCGCATCGAGCGTCTCCTAAGCTACTTCATAAAGCAACCACAGGTATATCATCATCCAAGAATAGCAATAAAACCAGGAGTCCTGCTAGAAGTCTACCTCATTTACCACGCACAGATTCGCTTCCAGAATCCTCCGTTCCATCACAACCTAAGGTATTAACCTATTCAATATCTTTTTGGTATAACACAAATTTTCAATCGGCTTTAGCCTGAGTTATGTGAGGCTTATCATTTAAAGGTTTAACATATATCTTTTGTACATAGTCAACGTATATCTTATTATTTTTTACAAGCTTAATATCTTTTACAACTTCATGCTTTAAGTCATTCAAAGTAATATTAATCATTCAAGTGAAAAACAAAAGTACTTAAATTTATGATAAACCTGAGAGTTGTTTGTTATTTCCTAGAAATCATTACTGAATTGTTTTACTTTGTTTTCGTTTCTAATGTTAGTACAGCATTTGTTTAAATAGTTGGTAACAATTGAGTAGAGCTGGTGAGTATCATTGTCATGGTCAGAAATGGCTTAGGATTTGATGAAATTAAAGGAAGAAAAATTTGTAAAACCCTTATAATTCATGTTGTGATAGGTTGTCAGATCTATGACAATAGCTGGACCGTATAGCTTGAGTATAAAATCGTGACCAATGACATTGACAGTATTCTTCACAGTGCCTTTAAATACGAATTTGTAAGATATATTAGTTTACAATTAGCTTTTCACTTCATATTGAAAAATGTTTTTGTAATTTGCTGGAAAAAACAAGTTACTTAACCATTGAAGTGTCATACTTCTGGAGCAGTACACTTCATTCAAGCAGACTCGATGTAGAAAGCAATAAAACATTAAATCCTGTGCTGAACTCCTGGAGGAAATTGAATTTTCAAAGAGAAATCTGGCCAAATGGCTCAATTTCCGTCAACAACAGTCAGCGTCCCCGACCCTAGGAGAAACAGACATCGCGACTTTCTCAGAGAGCATATCTTTAGCAGGGGCTTGATGAGAATTAATTAGCAAGATGGATGATGATAATTGTTGATCTCTGTGGATTTGAAATGCTAAAGGTCCAGGGTAGGATGAGTCACGGAAGAGATCTTCTCTCTATCTCAATTCTTAGTTTGAACTTGGGAATCAGGGTTTGGTGGGCCGATTTGAAGATCGGAAGGAAGGAAGGAAGGAAGCGGGAGTCACGCAGGCTTTAAGCAAGCTTTGAGAAATGTAATGTTGCAGTTAAAACAGGGGCAGTTTGAAGTAATGGAGCTCTTAATGAGAGTAAATCTCGATGAATATTTAGAGTGGTAGTTCCACATGTAGTTTTCTTACTGCTGTTCCTTAAAATTTAAGTCTATTCAAGGATCTGTGTTCCATAAAATTGTTTTTTCTTTCTCCATTACATTATACAATTTTAGGCTAATTGTTATTCTACTCTGAATTGTCCCCATTCCCATGTCTCCTCATCTTCCATCAGCTATTATTCTCTATCAGTTTTTATCCTCTTCTCCTTTGTCTCTCATTATTTCTATTTTACACCTCCACACTCTCTCTTTCTCTTGCTCTCTTCTTGACAAACTCACATTTTCTCTACCATTTTTTCTTTACTATTTTTTCTTTCTCTCTTTCCAATTAATTCTCAGGTTCTTTCTCCCATTCCCTCTTAATTCTTGCAATTGTAATATTTCTCTCATTCCATCTCTTTTTGTGTATGTCATTTCATCTGCTGAGAGCCAGAAAGACATAAACTCCATATAAAAGTAACTATATGATTTAACACAAGGACTCTTCCTACACTAACATATTGTAATCATACATTGTACCTCTCTTATATGTGCCTATTCTTGATATCCAGATTCCATAGCCTATTGATGATAGTTTAATCTATTCTAGAATAGTGCCAAGTTTTAGAGAGATAAACTTGTTGCCATGGTAACTTTATTTGTGAGGAAACAGCATTGCCAAGTCACTCAAGTTTAGTCATTGATGAAAAGTATAGGACTATAGGTTGTATTCATAGAAGACATATGCAAAATTGAATTGCAGTTGCTTCTTAAAGTAATGGATATTGGCATATGTAAGGATATGTTGCCAACAAAACCTTACTTATGCCAAAGAAGATATTTAAAAAAAACTTCCTCTGTCTCCTTTTTGATGATAAAATGGGTTAAAGTAAATACTGTAACAAAATTGTGACTGTGTTGTCAATATCAAAATTTTGTATGATATTTGACTTTAAATCTTACCCAAGGTGTTGTACAGGCTTTAGATTTATCTTTCTCAGAATGGGATGTATTATGTGTTTAGAGCTGAAAGAACATTAATGCCCTTTTGATTCTCAGTCAGTGATATGTGACACATCCTATGCCAGTCAAACACGTAGTATCGCGCCAATCAAATCAGATGATTCCATGATCATGTCCTGAGTACTGTTCAACTGATACCTTACATCCATCCATCTTCCCCTCATCATTAAGACGACATTGAAAGTGATAGGTCATCACATGAGTACATATATCCTACATGCTAAGATGAAGTAATTGTACTTTAAAGCAGTCAATATTCATCATGTAGTAAGCGAGAGGAAGAAGTGAATCATCTCTGTATCAAGGCTAGCCTTGTTTATATTTATACTGACACATTAACAATAAGATTTGACATCTTTAAAACTGTAGCAGTCATAGAAGGACCATGATTTAGCCGTTTTGTTTAAAGATCATGAAGCTAATCTTCAATTCTTGTTATGGAACTTTATTTCTGCAGAAACTGGCTCATGGTAACTCTGAATTGTGTATTATGCACACGATCGATTGTTTTGATCAGCAAATTGTGAAGATACTAATGAAATCTCACTGGAACTAAAACCCCATTTTTCTTTTTGTTTGATGCACAGTTGGAATATGAGCTCAAATATTTTACCTTTCTTTGCAAATTGCTCAACTATCATACATTTCCAACTAGCATTATTCAGCAGATATCATTTTCTTTGATATTGAAATATCAGTGTAAGTTTGTATCTGTGCATTTTTTTCTTTCTGTCATTACCTGAACTATAACTAATCTTTAAAATGTATAATTCCTCGCCTTTTGTGTTACTGGTTTGTAAATCATTTTTGTCAGTAAGACATCTGTATGTCACAATGAAAGAGTAATTTTGATAATTTAAAATATGGAAAAATGCATTAAAGGAAGTATTAACAAATTGAGACCCACTGAAATATCAAAATCTGGTTTGTGTGTTACCATTTCAATACAATGTTTTTCAATGCTCATCCTATGTTGAACAATATAGAATTTTTCAAAAGTTGTTTTAATTGAGCCAGAACTTCTTATTGCATGATGTAATTGAAATAGATTGTATCCTCTCATTTCAATGAATGAATGTAATGTGCGCCATCTCCACAGGTTAGAGGTCATACTACCACAGGGAAGAAGGATCTCCGATCACCAGGTAGATCTATCCCTCCAGCCAAGGATCCATCAAGTAGATCACTACCTCCAGTCAAGGATATCAAACAGAGTATATCAAGGCTGAAGAACGTGGATTCCAAGCTTGCTAATAGAATATTAGATGAGATCTTGGACAGTGGGCCCAAGGTCACGTTCGGTGATGTCGGTGAGTAAGATACTGTATCTACTCTGTAATTAGTATTCACACCCTGGTGTTATCTTATGCTGCATTCTCTCCTCCCCCCTCTCCAATTTACTCTCCCTATTTCTTCTGTATCTCCCTCTCTCTTGCCCTTTCTATGTGTGTTTGTCTGTTCTCCTTCTTTTTCTGACTATCTCTTTCTCTCTTTTTTTCTATAATTTGTTTCTTTTTCTCCTACTATACTATTCTTTTTTTTGTATCTCTGTTTCTGATTTTTTTTCCCCCTTTCTCTTTCTCTCTCTCTCTCTCTCTCTCTCTCTCTCTCTCCCCCTCTCCCCCCACCCTCTCTCCATCTCTGTGTCTCTCTGTCTGTCTTTCTGTTTGGGTTTCTCCTCTTTCTCATTCCCATTCCCCTGTCTCATGTGTGAAATGTTTCCTTTTTCTCTTTATTTTGCTGACACATTTGAATTGTCCATTGGATACTCCTCTTTCTTAGATGTTTCCCTTTATATTCTCTCTTCATCTCTCTCTTTCTCTCAATCACTCTCTCTCTCATTCTGCCCCTTTCTGTCTCAAACTCTCATACTCTGATTTGATGTGTCTTTTTAGTTTTCCCTACTGGCCTTTTTGAGGCATATGTGTATTTTTCTCTCTCTCCCTTCACTCTTTCAATCACTTTTTTTTTCTCTTTCACCCATGCTCTTTCCCCTATTGCTAGGATGACTATGTAGTATTGCATTCTAGCGTTACTCATTATGTATCAGTTAGTTCTTACCTGTCATGGCATCGATTACACTGCACCTTCAGCTGTGTTCTACAGGTATTGATTGCTCGCTCTGATATGTGAATACGCCTGGTTTGATATCTGACTTGCAACTACACTCGAGCTGCTTAGCCTTGAGAAGAGGTACAGGGAGAGAATGATACAGCAGAGAAACTTATTTCATAACAGTATATGATCCTGTTTAAAACATTGTTTTAGTCACAGTACCTGAAACTATTTTGATGTTTTCTGATGTGTTTATTACTACTACCTGTAATGATAACCTGCACTGCTACACTGTTTTGTCTTGTATGGTACTGAATATATGTAATATATTAGTATATCTTATCAATGTGTTATGTTTGTAGTCCTATTAGAGCTTTGGATCGGGCCAACTATAAAGTGAAATTACCTATTTGATGTCAAGATAATTATGTTCATAACTACTCAATGCTGGGTGTTGTATGGGACATCAACATGTCTAAATTCCCTGAACTTGCCCTTGCAAATATTTAAGTTCAACAATTTTTTTTATGGTCAATGTTTCATACAGTAGGCCTCGTAGCTGGGTAGAAATTCTACCTTTGATGTGTTACAGAAATGTTCTTTTTGAAAGGCAGAATCTCTAGCTGAAATTCTAAAGGATGATGATTTGTTTTTATCATTTGATGAATTAGCTGGACAGGAGGCGGCTAAGCAAGCTCTTCAAGAGATAGTGATCCTACCAGCTTTAAGACCAGAACTCTTTACAGGACTCAGGGAACCTGCTAGAGGTCTACTGCTCTTTGGACCACCAGGCAACGGCAAGACAATGCTGGTAAGACTATTAAAGTAGTCACACCTTCCTTACAGACACCAATGATTTTAACTGGCACCTGTTAGAAAGTGCAGAACTTAACGTCTTTAGATTGGCAGACTTTTATTGATTTCCTTTATTATTATTCATTTACACCATCAACGTAACCAATCACAGTATTTTTTTCTCGGTTTTTTGAAGATCAACATTTTATATAAGAGGTTGAGTGACTGCCTCTACTAGAGTCTGAAAAAATAGACACAGTGGAGCTAACGTAATGTACATATTTTCTTATGTCAGTATAAATTGTGTGACAGCACAAGCTTGTTTTCGTCTATTTTGAATGAGCTAAATTCCATTGATGCGTGAAATTGGCTATTTCTTTGTTTCTTTCTGCTGTAGGGAATAATAGCTTGCAAAGTAGTAGCCATTATACACTGCTGCAAAATGGCCAGTATACAGAGAATTAACTGCAGCTAGAGGGATGAAATGTGATATTGTACAAATTTTGTTCTATTTATGGTGATAAACTCAATTTTCTTTATGTGTGACATGCTATATAAAGTAGTTCATAAGCTTGATTTAAACCAGCTCGTGCCCTTCGATAATTCCAGAGATTGTCTAGTTTAAACTACTGTCCAGTCCATAATGACCCTTCTGTAACAGTTGTCTCACAGTGATTGTAGAGGTATCCATCGCCTAGAATGCCGGAGGTCTTGTGGGTTGCACGAAAGCACTTAATTTGATTATCACTTACTGGGCACACGCTAGCAAGCTTGTAATTGACCCATGGACGGAGTGGAGCCCTTTAGCTCATGATTTTATTATCAGTAAGAGGAAAGGGTTATTTGTACATCAGTAATGAGGTGAAGGAAAGATGGCGTGAGTAACACGTTCGCCTAATAACCAATAACAAAATCTTGAACTTGAATATGGCTGTGTGGAATGATGGGTGAAGTTATGTATCTATTTTGTTCAGCATATTTAGAAATATTTTTATATCCTTGGTAGCTGCTTCAATTATTTTTCTTCAATTTCCAAATTTCTTTTCATTCTGAAATACTTCATATCTAAATTAATAGGACACAAATTGGTTAAAATTGGTATTGATAGTGTGATACACAAATCCCTTTTAAGGTGTTGCTAAACATTAAATATATATATATATATATATATATATATATATATATGTAACTAATTTCATGTTAGGTCTTCTTTTTGTGTGAGTGAAGACAGACATGGTAGAACAAGGAAGCACATGACACAGATTTTTCTGATAACACTAAATAATTTGTTCATGTGTAAAGGCTTTCTTAAAAGCGTTATCAACACATTTGAGTAGCCTTTCATTTATAATGCAATGATGAGAATAGACAAACTGAAATGTGAGATCCTCCAATCAATATAGATTTTACTGATACTAGTCCTTATTAATTCATTTTCAAATAACACAGTAATAATTGCAGAGGATGTTCCTTAAAAACTTCTTCATAAATCAGACATGCCAGAAAACTTATTCAACTTTTAGTTAAGAATTAGGCTACTACCTCCTTTTCTACAAAGATAATTCTCATAAGTAAACAAGTAAGCTACTTAATTCAGAAAATATTACATTTGATGAAAGCAATGGAATGATCGTTTCTTGTATGCTAAAGCTACAGTCCCATATACGTCCCGGACCGTCCCGGACCATCCCGGACCCCATCCGGGGTGATCCGGGATTCGGTCCGTGTTGACACCGTGTTGGCACCGGGGTGGTCCTGGATGGTCCTGGATGGTCCTGGATGGTCCTGGATGGTCCTGGGCGGTCCGGGAGTCGACCCCGGATGTTTTTGACTGTCAAAAACTGCCGGGGTGGTCCGGGACGGTCCGGGACAAAAGTTTGATCCGGGGTGATCCGTGTAGCCACCGTGTTGGGTCCGGGGTCATCCGTAGTGGCGCCGGGGCGGTCCGTGTTGATCCGTGGCAGTCCGGGAGTGAGTTATTGACTGCCCAGGACCATCCAGGACCATCCAGGACCATCCAGGACCACCCCGGTGCCAACACGGTGTCAACACGGACCGAATCCCGGATCACCCCGGATGGGGTCCGGGATGGTCCGGGACGGTCCGGGACGTATATGGGACTGTAGCTTTTAAAGCATCACACTTTTTTTAACAAAACATCCCGGACCATCCCGGATCACCCCAGACCATGGTCCGGGATGGTCCGGAGTGGTCCGTGCTCGTCCGTGCTGGTCCGGCTTTATATGGGACTGGGGCTTTAGGAGTGAGGTTGAATTCTAATTTGTCATCATTGGGAGTGGGTAGATAAGCATAAGAAGATCAGTCAACTCCGTCCTTCCTGTCTAAGATCTAGCCTCTTCTTACTATGTACATCACCACTCTCTAATCCATGCTCTCTTTCTTCCTGTCAAGTGAAAATTCCCAGTTACATCAACATTTTCTATATAAAAATCGCTTTTTCTTTATATTTACATTTCTTAGACATGTCATATTTTTTAAACATCTCTATTCTATGATTTGTTTCTCTCCACCTCTCTTCAATCTCCAACTGTCTTCCTTGTTTACCTCTCTGTCTCTCTCTGCTGGTCTCTCTGTAAATCTCAGATTTTCTCTTTCTCTCTCTCTCTCTCTCTCTCTGTGTCTGTCTGTCTCTCTCTCTCTGCTGGTCTCTCTGTCTGTAAATCTCAGATTTTCTCTTTCTCTCTCTCTCTCTCTCTCTGTCTCTCTATGTCTCTCTCTGTCTCTCTCTGTCCGTCTCTCTCTGTGTCTACCTCTCTGTCTCTCTCTGCTGGTCTCTCTGTCTGTAAATCTCAGATTTTCTCTTTCTCTCTCTCTCTAGCTCTCTGTCTGTCTCTCTCTCTGTGTCTCTCTCTCTTTTTCTCTTTCTCTCTGTCTCTCTCATTTTCTCACTCTCGCTCTCTGTTTGTCTGTCTCCCTGCCCCCCTCTCTCTTTGTACATCGTCACCCGTTGATCTGAAGCTAATCCACATTACTTCCTGATGAATTATTAGTCTAGCTCTCAACTGTAATGAGAGCAACCGTTGTGACATTTCTCACAAGTTGATAGGGGTGATAACGCATATTTTAAAATGTAAGATGACATTTGTTGCATGATAAAACAAAAATTATGTTTTTTCATTATTGACCCAAATATCATCTACAAAATATAAGCTTGTAAAGTGTACAGAAATATTAAAGGACTATGAATGTACATACAGAGCTGCCAATAAGATTTATCTGGTTTTCCTCCAATGTAAAGGGTGTGAAACAGAAGGAAAAAAATAGAAGGATGCAGCTCAAGAGAGCAGTATGGTGACACAGAAGATGCTAATAAGACAGCTAGGAAGTAGTATACAGTACCAGGGAGGAGTAGATGGATGTGCTGGTATTAACATTGAAAATTCGGTTTTAACGCTCCCACTTCTCTGCAGAGACATTATCAGATTAATCTTCCAGAAGATGCTAATAAGACAGCTTGGAAGTTATATACAGTACCAGGGTTGATGTGCTGGTATGAAAATTGAAAATTTGATTTTAACACTCCCGCTTCTCTCAGAGATATTATCAGATTAATCCTCCCACATGAATGAGTAATCCTCCCTTCCCCCTAGGGAAGATCCATCGTCCTACTCTAAGGTCTCTACACATTTACATGACCCTCCCCAAGTCATTCTGCAAGTCTTCATAACCGGCAGGCTGCTTCTAGCAATGTCTCTGTCTTCATTGTCAATCATTCATGGAACACTCTAATCTTATCCCACCTCCTTCTTTTAATTCTCTTTATTCAAGTCGAGGAATGTCTGCATTATTGTTTTTTCTGCACTTATTACAATTTCATATTTGTGCAGATTCAAACAAGTGGCAGGTATATGTGAGGGTTTTATTGAATATGAGTCATAGGTATATAGCCACAGAGTGTTGTACTATTCTATATATGTATTTTCTCTCCTCCCCTCCCTCCCTCTCTCTTCCTCCTCCTCTCTTTTTCTCTCTCTTTCTCTTTCTCTCACATTTATTATTTGTTCTCAAGCTCTTTTTGTTCTTTTCATGCTCTCAATATGTTTCTATCTCTTTTTCTTTCTCTCCTATATTTTTCCATGGTCCCTCTTCCCTCCATCCCTTCCTGCCATCTTTAATTAGATTTCTCCAATTCTTTAAGTTGTAAGTGTTAATTTCTTGAATCCTCCCCGGTGTATCTGTACTTATATGTCTTCATGATTAAATTTGATGAAAGGCGGGAAGATCAGACCAGTAAAAACATCCTCAGGCATGGTATTGTGCTAATCAATGACTCAGTGAGTGATAATGGGTTGGGCGTTAGCACATAGTCTGTTTGGTCTTATTTGTATTTGTTTAATAGAAGTGTCACCTAGGGTTCAGTAGATTGAGATATGGTATTCACTATTTAGAACAAAAAAAATCTTCTCTACCCTCTATTTAGCTTTGTAGTGCCAAATGGATATTTTATCTTTTTATATATTACAAATAATTCCCAAATTGGTTTAAGACGAAAATACATGTATGGGTAGATTGGATACCAAACCTCCTCAGAATATCAGTATATTTATATTTGCCTCACCTGTTAAATCGTTTGATCACCTGACACCTCCTCTTGCTCTGCTTCAATTACTATTGTTCTGAATTAGTGTTTATAAAACAACATTTGATCCTCTGTTAATCTGTGCTTAATCATATGTTAAACCTTGTGTATTCACTTTTAATGTCTACATTTTTGTAAATACATTAGTAAATGTTAATCTGTATATGTTACACCAGTGAAAATCAAATATCCAGAAATGGACAATAAATACTAAATTGAATTGATTGAATTGAAATTATTGATGATTTATCATCATAATTACAGTTTAATATAATATACTGTGTAGTATTTTGATAATGAATGTTACACACTGTAGTTTATAATGAAAATCTTGTAATTTGTCCATCAAGCATTTGAATACATATTGGCATACATCTTATATACCAATATATCATCCCTTTGGTGATATGTAGTATTTGTTGAAGTCATGGATTTGGTGCATTTAGTTTAATAGTCAAAGACCTCATGAATATCTGTTTTCTTCAATTTCTATCAAGAGAGGGCAACATAGATAGGAGACATAGTCATTCATGAGATATATGTATTTGAGTGAATAGGCTATATTACATTATTGGTATTGGAGAAATTCTTAAAAATAAATATTACGCACATAAAATGTATCATGAACATAGTAATTCTTGATTTTACCCCTCTAATATGATTTGTTCATATCTCATTTTGTTTCCTCTATCATAATCAGGCTATTAGTTAATGAGGTACATCTTCTCTTTTCCTCTTTACCTCCCGTTCTAGGCTAAGGCAGTTGCTAATGAATCCAACGCTACCTTCTTCAACATCAGCGCTGCAACGCTTACATCCAAGTATGTGGGAGAGGGAGAGAAACTTGTGAGGGCGCTCTTTGCAGTAGCCAGGCAATTACAACCATCCATTATATTCATGGGTAAGCTATTCTTCAAATGTCAGTAGCCTATCAGTTGCAGACTTGCAAATACTTCCAGTTATGTCTAGAGTAGCATATTGACATGATTGCCTCTTAGGAATAAAGAATAAATGATATCATGAGGTTTTGGAAACATCAAAATGACTGTCTAGCTGCATGTCACACATGTATGTAAATAGTGCAAATAGATATGAGTACCAGTATATAGAACTATATAAAGATGTTTTGACGTAGTCTTGGTCTAAAAGATAAACTTTCTGATAGCTTTAATTATCAGGAGGAATAGTTATCATGTTAAATTATTTGATGGTGTTTGTCAATTTCAGGAAGAAAATAATGATGCCTTTTTAGTATTAGGACTTCATTGCTCTCTATTCAAATTTTGAGATTTGTAAGTTGTTAATATAGGTTTGATTCCCTACCCACAAGTAAGACAAATTTGCAGTCACTAATTCTATGACATTGTTGAAAATCATAAACCTATGTTTTAATTTTCATATGATTAATAAATGTTTTTTATCTCTGGTTGGATCATTTAGTTATTTGCTAGTTTGCCAAGTTTCCTAAGTATTGATCTTTGTATAGTATGGTATTTTAATGTATATCTGATCATATTATTTGTTAACATTTGTTCTTGTTGTTTTCAGATGAAATTGATTCCTTACTAACTGAGAGAAAAGAAGGAGAACATGATGCAAGCAGAAGATTAAAAACAGAATTCTTAGTAGAATTTGATGGTGTAAGTATCTATTAACCATTACATAATTCATTTGTTGTTTAATAATTTTTAAAAATATTGCTGTCTACAGGTTGTAGATGTTGGTAGATGCTTCACCTTGACATCTTGTAATTTTTAGTCGGTGGAATTTGTATTTTAAACCTTACATGGTTCAAACCATGGACTTCAGACCCTATAGTGGTCATCAGCAACTGTACGATACAACTTTAATGTGCAACAAGTAAAATTTGTAAGAGCTGTGAGTGAATCAGCTCCTGAAACTTCTAAGAGCACTCCGGAAAAAAGTGAAATAGTGCTCTAGTTTTGAATAAAAAAAAAAGGTCACTTTTTATGTGTTTTTTTTTTACTGCTGGTGTGATGCAAAAAATATTTTGTGTTTGGGGAATAATCAACTCTGGAAACGTAGTTCTAGATGATAAGTGGAACCCTGGATGACGCAAAGAGAGAGAGGGGGGGGGGGGTAGGGTAGGGGTATAGTCCATAGTCCACTGTCCACAGCCTACTTCATATTTGTTAGTTCTATATTCATCAAGAAATTTAAGAAACAGGAAAATGTTGCATTTATTATTATTTCTTTATTGCAACCAAAACTTGGGGTTGGATTAAAGCATAACAGCTCGGTCAGATTAATGAAGATTAGAGCCATTCTGAAGTTTCATATACTTCTTGGTGTTGTCATATAAATGTAAAGTGATAGTTAGGATGGAAACCAGTAAAAATTAAAGTTTTGATTGACTAATTTTAGGTGAAAGCTGATGGGAGTGAGCGAATGCTTGTGATGGGGGCAACAAATCGACCACAAGAACTGGACGATGCTGTCCTCAGGAGGCTGGTGAAACGAGTTTATGTCCAACTGCCTGATATGAATGTAAGTAGCTTGACCCAACAACTGTCACCTCATTCATTGGTAAACTGCACTCTCCATTCATTCATTGTGAAGGATCTGGAAATGTAGATGTACATATTATATCTACAAGATATTTGAACAAAAATGTTCTACATGCAGTGTCTTGTTATGTGCATTTGACATTCACAGCATTCAAAGATATAGCATAATTTTTCATTATCAGAAAAGCTGCTAGTAGAGATAGTTTCTTTATCAATCAATGAATTATGTAAATTCCTTCAGAAGTATTTTCCTGCATTTTGGATTATTCAAAATGTATGTATTTTCTTAATGTTTCACCTCCCCAAGAGCTTGCATGAGTCTATCCCAAAATAGTGACAACCAATTCTTGTACGGTAACCCTTTCTCAGCATTTAATGCACAATTAATTCATACAGTGTATGATACCTGTGTAAGGAAGTGCATGATGTACAGCTGTGAGACATGGGCAGAGCTGCCAACCTCCAGAACAGAATATCAGTAATCACAAGGCTCCAAATCAGTAATTTTGGGAATAAATTAGTAATTCCCTATGCGTGTCTATGAATCTATAAAAAAAAAGGCATGCCAGCACTGCGCGGACGTATGATTTTCAGGTCATCACAGCACATCAATTTTCTATGAAAAATTGGTTTCTATTAAGAGAATACTTGATACTTTTCCGTCTTTCTCAGCGTGTGTTGGATAGCCGCCATACTGCACAGCACTTGTTACGATAAATCATATTGAAGCCCCCTCCCCCCCCCCCCCCAACAAAAAAAAACTGTAATTTTAGACATTCCATACTGCCATAATGATCATACTTTTCCGTACTTTGCCTGTAACCCATGTTTTTCATTTTTCTGTTTTAGGCCCGGAAAACGTTGATCAAGAATTTGCTGAAGAAAAACAATAACCCTCTGACTGATGCAGATCTTACAAGACTAGCAGAGTTTACTCAAGGATACTCAGGAAGTGATCTTAATGCCTTGGCTAAAGATGCTGCTCTAGGACCTATCAGAGGTAAGATAATTGGTATGATAATGGTGATGAGGATGGTGGTGATGATGATGGTGGTGATGATGATGATGACATTGATGATGACAATGGTGATGATAATGATGATGGTCATGTTGATGATGATGATGGTGGTGATGATGGTGATGATGGTGGTGATGATGACGATGCCGATGATGATGATAAAGATATTGATGAAGACGATGATGACGATGATGACTAGGATGACAATGATGACAATGATGACGAAGGTGGCGGAGATGGTGGTGGTGGTGGTGGTGGTGGTTATGATGATGATGATGATGATGATGATGATTATGATGGTGATGATGATGATGATGATGATAGTCATAAAGTTTATATTGTTTTAGTGTTAGGAGGTAAAGATGCACCAAGGAAGGAACATCTTCAACCTTCTTATGGATTGTTTATGCCGGGCTGAAATATAAGTTGGCCAGAAATCTGCCATTAATTGTGCTTCCATTTACATGTATATATGTCATTAAAACCTTTATCCATCTATCAATATGTTTTTACTAATATAAAAAATGATAAGCATGGACATGGGGTATGGTATGAAAATCTTAGGTAGGTGTGGGTTGAATGTTAATAGAATGCAATTAATTTTTTCATGTCTTACTGGTATTGCATATTTAATTATTTATGTTATGTATTTACAGAACTTGGACTAAATGGTGTCAAGTCAACCACTGCAGAACAGGTAATACATTCACTTTCTATAAAAGTCATGGTAACTGTGATATTCTCACATAACAAGAAAAATGTTAGAGTGGAATTTCCTGTGAAGTACCCCTCCCCATATGGCTCATTGTTTTGACTACCACCCTAATGATTTTAACCCATTCCCACCCTTTGCCTATCTTACCTACCTACATCTCTCCCCATTCTATGCATGGTGTTAGTAAAGGGAATAACCAAACACAGGAACAGGTTCTGGTTTCTTTAAACATTTACATCATAATAGCAAATGGTTTTCTAAAGTTCGTAGTGCATGGTCAGCCCCCCCCCCTCCCCCTTTTTTTCAGGGGGGAGGGGGAAGTTTTGTTTTTCTTCTATGTTTTTAGTATTTTTTTATTTAATTAACCATTAGTTTTCGGGAACAAACCCTTGTCAGTCATTGTGCTTGACAGTGTCTGCACTGTAAGACAATGCTGACTACCCAGTCTACTGCACACCATCGGCTCTGTACTTTAGCTGTTATATGACACAGCCAGAGAGTGACAGAGCTATGCTATACTCAAGGTCTATTGTAATTATAGTAAAATGTCAAATTAGAGTTTGTGCCTTTGAGATTATCTGTATCAGATGTCACAACTTCTTTCTTCTCTATGATTGAATTCATATCTCTCTTTCTCATGTCATGACTAGGTACGAAGCATCACCCTGTCTGATTTTTATGATTCTCTGAAGAGGATACGACGGAGTGTACCTCAAGATTCCATCAATCTCTATGCAGACTGGAACAAGAGCTACGGTGACATCTCATCTTATTAGACCATGCTTGGATTGTGATATAGGAAGGACCTCATAGTATTAGTTGGTGAAATCATTTCATGCTGGCATAACATGATTGGGAAATTCCTCTCTTGCAAAAAGCATAGAAATGACTGAAATAGAGCAGTTGAGCTAAATCTGATAAAGATAAGATCTATCAAATACACATTGGCAAGTCTGGGACTGCATTTGCAAGCACCTTTCTTATTGTTCTGTAGCATTAAAAAAATTGATTACGGTAATTTACCTTTTCTTTTAAAAAAAAAAGCATTTCATTGCACCCAAGTCCTTGACATGTTACTAGACATATTTTTTTTTGATTTGTTGTTGTTTTTGATACATGCTCTTAATGATTTAGATCTGTTTCTTCATCAAATACAAGGAATTTATGGAATTTGTAAGGCTTGCAAGGTAGAGTTACCAATTTGCATTGTTCAATACCTGTGTTTTGTACCCACGCCTGCACGTACACAAGCTATAGTGCCACCCTTGATGTTGTACACAACGATGCAAACACAGGTTTGCACTTGCTGTTGACCCACACAACACACTTTCATTTGTTTTTTTGTTGTGTTTTTTTACAATTAAAATTACGCTTTTAGGTGACGATCTGAATATTTGTTCTACAACGCCTTTTTGGCACCATGTAGCTTCCCCCTCACCTCCCAGGCTACCATCCACTCAAGCTCCCTGCCTAATATGATGGTTGGTCTACTGCATTTATTTATTGTTATAATAATATAGTTAAATTATTGCCACATTTATATATTATGATTGTATTACTGTTTTAATTTCATTGTTTTCTTATTCAAATGTTATTGAAAAAAAATGTTCTTTGTTCATTTTATTTTGACTTTGTTTAATAATATATAAGTGTATAATAAATCTGCCTTTAAAAAGAAAATATTGTTTTAAAAATGTGAAACATCTTTTATCAGCACTGAGATTGATAAAGCAAGGTATTGAGACAAAACAAATTTATCATTCATCAAATATATTGTCATTTTTGTAATGCAGAAATTACTTTTCTTCCAGATTAAATAGAATTACCATGATGAGTCTGTTATTGATATGACTGAGAATGAAATGCTGAATAAGCTAATTTCTTTAGTGATATTTAGAATTGTTTTTTCAAGCAATATTTCTATCACAAGAGTTTCAGTAGTCTGATCATTATTAAGATATTTGTTTGAATGTTGATCAGATCCATGGATTCAATGAAATAGTGTTGTTATTTCATTAAGATGATTACTTCACCAAATTGATCATTAGTCCTCTTTAATTTGCCCTTAAAGTGATAAGACGAAAAATATCTGGGTTATGTTTATGGCTAGACATACCTGTTTTGCTTTTGAATTATATTTTTTATTGATAAGTTGTACGCTCAGTAATATTTTTTTAGTGAGATATTACTTACGAGGCAAATACAGGTTGAATATAATTATTGGTGGCACTGATTGTGCGTCTGAAAATTAAGGAAAATCTATTTTTACCGACACATTAAAAGCTTAATTCTGTAGAATGATATGTATGTGTTGGTTGAAAAGAAAGTAGTGAAATGCAGAATAAATGTGATGGAAATGAAATTATTGAGTGACTGTATCAGTACGTCATTTATAAAGACATAAAATATTACATCCATGCCATACACATGCTCATCAGCAAATGGGGATGTAAAACCCCTGAAAGAAGTGGCTTTGTATTATAAAAGGAACAGAAAGTTCACACGCATAGAATATCCCAAACCATAGAGATTTGTTTTCATTATGAATTTCACTTGTTTATTATTTACTCATTTGCAACGAGCACTTGGAACGCAATGTTTAATCTCATAGTTTTAGGACTGCATCAAAAGAGGTTTCAAAGAAAAGTGGAAAATATACAGAAAAGGCATGTATCGCTAATAAGTAATTATGTAATACTTTCTGGATTGTCAAATGGTTGTAGGGTATTGTAACAAAATTAGATTTAGTTTGTGATGTGGTAGTAGTCACTCTGTGATTTTATAATACATGCTCTTGCAAGCAAATATGAGTATTGAAAATTGTTAACATTCTTGCAGCCATATAGTATTTTAAAAAGCTGTGAAAGCATTTCTATCAATGTATGATCCTCAAGTAATGTGACAAAAACTTGTGCCTTGTTTTGTGAATAATTTTTTTGTACATACAGCATAGAAATAAATCATGAAACTCATGTACACGTTAGAAGAAAAAGGTAAAAAGCACAGTAGGTAAAGCTTACTCTGGACAAAGCTGTAGCGTATAAACCCTTGATAGATAAAGTGAAACTAGTATTAGTTCTTCATTCCTGTGATATTTATGTTATCTGCGTCAAATAAAAACTTGTTTCGTGTTAAACTCTATCAATCTTCTGTTACCGGTATGTTTCTCGTCTTCAGTACATGGTGTATATGTTATTTGTATGAAATGTAAAGAATGTTTGATTTCAGAAATAAAATAATGTTTTATACTGAGAGGCTAGTGTGTTTTACTTATTCTGTGGTTGTCCAAATAGTTCAGAATTGCATATGCATCTAAGTTTTTACATCATTTGGTAATTGTTGGGGGAAATCATATAAAAAATAATTTGATTATATTTAATGACAAATTGGAGCTTTTTAAGTGTAGTTCTTTCCAGGCTTCAAAATAATGCAAAGGAACTTTAGGTGCCCATTTTATGTACCGGTACTTGTATTTTAATTGCTGACTTACAATACATGGTAGTGTTTCACAAAGACTAACATTTACTTTAAGTTGGACCTAACTACGGCAGGCCGTTCATGGCACTGTTTGCTCTCACCATTTACTGGCATTGGTCTCTCAAAGGACGTACAAGTCATGGTCACCAATCTACAGAATTTACATTTTTTGATAATTCATTATTGAAGAAAAAAATATGAAACCTAAAGATCATAATGGTGAGAGCAAACGGTGGCATGAACGGTACAACTAAATGTCGATATTGGTCTTTGTGAAACACTCCCATGGACATGTACATATATAGAGTATAATATCATTACTAATAGATAATCATTTCACACCAATTTATGACTCGTCTTAAAGAAAGCAATCATTCAGTGGTAAAATAAAGTAAAAGTTATCTTTTCTTTTATTGATTAATAACAATGAGATTAGTCAGGTTATTGTACATAAATTGTAATGTATGATGGTACTTTCAGCATTTTGTTGAAAGATAAATTATAAATATGGCAATTAAGTAACAATGGAACTTGGAATACAAGTCAGTACAGAACTGGTAAATTACTAATTACACATGTATGGGGGGGGGGGGGAATTAACTCCAAAAAAATATGTATTTTAACCCTCAAAAGATAGATGGGGGGGGGGGGCAACATGAGCCCCTCCACTCTGATTACTTCCTAATGCATGACAATTTTTCAAAGCACTTGCATAACCTTTTCTTTCAAGACTTTCACAGTTTTAAAGTCATTTTTCATGAACATCAGGCTTAAAGATTTTGTTGTGACCTCGGGTCGGCCTGAAAACAAATGAAAACTGTATTTTGTTATTTTCTTTCTAAAATCAGTTATTTTCTAATTCATTATCAACTTTTACCCATTTCATCAAAATACTTATTCAGATACAAGCCTCTAATCTAATCTAAAAATCAAATAAATTAATAAAATTAAAAGAACTTTAATTGAATTAGATTTCTTGATTCAAGTTATTTCAAGAACATTTTGCACAACATTACGTTTTCTTTGTTCATTATTTAAAAAATGAACATTTATATATTATTGATGAAGTTACCAATCTCTAACATAACTAATAATGCAGACCGGGGCTCCATCTCATAGAGAGTTGAGATTGATCTGAATCAATCGCAAGTCTTCCAATCCATCGCAAGTTTACAGTCTCCTATTTCTTATGTACATAGCTGTGATTAATCGCAACTTTTTATAAGACTGGGCCCTGTTCTTCATATATCATGGAGGTGCATGCAACCCTTTGTCGCTATTTGTCTCTTCGTGGCCGAGATCTTGGAGGTATAAAGGCAAAAGCGCACAATTGTCATATTACATATTTCATTATTTCGTGGCAGCTGAAAGTTAAGGTTATACCCAGATAGTGACGCATGGTGCTCCTACGATTATGTCCACAGACCTAAAAGACGACTCTTGTCTGACCTTTGACCTTCAAATCACTGTCACATGACAATTATACGAGCCTCAGAGATGGTGTAAAGTGTGAAGATCCCATCTAGCTTCATCCATTTCTTTCCTCGAAATGAAGTCCATTCTAAAATGTCTTTTTGATTCCAGTATAAATGTCTTTGTTAAGATGATGCATCAGAATCTCTCTGCTGATCTACTTGCCACAGCACGCATATTTCCATACACTTTAGAAGGAGGACTTCCTGCAATGGAACAATGAGAAGAAAAACAAAATTTTTTTGAATTTCAAAACTAAACGACATATGGCACAAAAAGATATTTCTCCATCTCCAAGGAAAAGTACTTGAACAAAGTATCAAACAGTATGATAAACAATACCCCATATTATAAGAGTTTGATAAATTTATAATTTTGCATTTAAATAACTATTTAAAATGATAAGCATTTGCAGGATCATTTCAAGCAATATCATGAAATGGCTTTCAGTGGCATGCTTAAGGAGGGTGGAAGTACCTTCTAATCAAATACATACAAAGAAAGACATTGAAAGATAGAGAGAGAACCAGACAGACACACAGACAGAAAGGGACACCCTCGTCAACTCTGTCGAATATCGTCTATCTAGTCGGGCTAGTGGCCCTTATCTCCCTTATCCTTGCTGGCTTCCTATGCCATGACTGGACAAAAGGCAGTGATTATACTCAAGTTGAAAACCTATCATGCAAACTTGAAATGATACACAAACCACCAAATAAATGTACATTAATTGCCCCGAACATGACTCCCAACTTAAAATTGTCTCTGCCTACCAATAAATAACCAGTAATCTTTGACATATAATCCTAATATTGAATCATCTATATCATACTCCAATGAAAACAGGTATTTACCAAGAATAAGATTGCATATAGCTGTTCTTGCAATCTTAATATTCTGGAAGGAGCCTAAGATGTGGATCTTGGTGTCTGCTAGCACAATTCTAGTCTTGGTAACGTTCTCAATGGTGAACTTTGTCTTTCCTCCCTTGCCTGCTATTCTCCCAATAGCTCTTGATAAATGATCTCCTTTCAATGGCTTTACATCCGTCACCTCAAAAGATTCTAAGAAGAGTTCATCAAGTCTGAGTAGTGCCAGAGCATCCTAAAAGAAAGTACAGAAAAAAGGAGAACAATGTTTACACAAATGATTTGAGACATAGAACGGCAGTGCAGAATAGGTTCTTGAGAAAACATGACATTGCTCTTTTTATTTTTGCCTCACAATATACAACACTTGTACATCCTTCAGCTTTATGACAAGTGTACATGATACCAAGGGACTTACTGTATCAGATTTTTTTTATATGCTGAGAAAAGGAATCTGCTGTGAAGGTGGCACTATTACCTCAGTTGTATCAAATTATAAATGCAGAACTGGCAATTTAACAGAGAGTCTATTGTGAGCACAAAGTTGTGCAATACACATGTATCCCCATTCGTAAGAGTTGAATCATTATCACACTTTGAGCTATCATTCAATCATTTGGTCTTTTTGTCTCCATAAACTTGATCAATTCAGTCTATTCTATACAAGCAAAATATCACTTATAAACATTGTATTAAATCAATAAGAGTCCCAGAAGAACTGCGAAGCATTTTTTTTTTTCATTTCCAAAGAACACATCAATCAAATATAATACTATTCAGACTAATGAAATCTACTTTTAGATAGATGGGGATATGTTACAGCATCAAGCCCTGTATTATGTTTTTATAATAATTTAGGTTTTCACTCTCCCACTAATAAACATTTTCTTAAGATATAAGCATAGATATCCCCTTCTTACCTCTACTTCAAAGCCGAGTAGAAAAGCTTTTACAAAGTCATGTCCTTTTTGAAGAGCACTTATTTCTTGTGTTTGTTCCGACGACTGAAATACAAACAGAAAACATGGGATGAAAAAAAAACATACAAGTTTAAGTATTATGTATTACAAAATTACAGATGTCTGTCACTGCTGACTTATATTCTGCTCACCTCAAATCAGTCAAGTTTGGGTAAAAGTGAACCATTGCAGAGAATATTTAGATATACAGATTCAGATAAACTAAGGATGTGTTCAAGATAAAAATGTCTATGAGTAGAGTAACATGTAATTATACACTTACATTTACATGTGATATAAACCTCTTATAGAGGGTTCATATAGGGAACAACCAATACACTTTACGCTCTATTGTATGGAAGAAGGAATGCCCATGCAAGTTTACTGTGCATGTTACAAAAATACATAATATGATGTGCAGAACAATACATGATCAAATCTGATCGACTCAATTTGCAATGTATTTGGTATAGCACTATGGCACCTTCTCCTTGCAGTTACAAGGTAAGGCTGCGACGGGTAGTCGAATGCTCGAGCACCAGCACGGTTGACAACTACTCGGGTACGATTTCTCGTACCCGAATATTCGGCCGCAAAAACAAAACAAAAAATTAAAAAAATTAAAAAAAAAAAAAAAATGTCCAGGCCCACGCTTACCCGTGCCAGGGAGAGCAGCGACCGCTGGCATGGTACCGTCGGTAAAAATGTTTCCCAACTCAAGCACTGTCAAACTCACCTTTCAGAAACTGGGACCAAATGTCCAGATTTCTGTTTGGACTTGGAGGAAAATGGATTATTCTGCCATCTTTGGTTTTTAAAACTGCATTGTTTACTGTTAATATTCTTATTAAATCGGCACCTTCAACTGCAACTCAAAGTAAAATTGCATGCCTTTTTGGCGAGAGACCTGGGAAACTGCCGAGTGGTATGGTAGTGGCAAAAAAAAAATCAAATCAAAAAAATCAAAAAATCAAAAAAAAAATCAAAAAAAATTCAATACAGTACCGTAGTTGTGATAATAGAATGCAACTTACCCTCAGTTCTACATGTCTGGTTTTGAGATTGAATCTGATCTGAAGTTTGAGATGCTCGACGACGGGTGTAAATATCTTCATCCAACTCTCTTTTAGCGGTGTGTATCTATTGGCAGGAACAGCGATCTTTCTCATATCTGTGTTGCCATCCTGGATAGAAATAAAATATGGAATAATTAATGGAAAGATGTTGCAGTTTATTTCATAGGCAATGTAACAAACAAGAAAAGAGCTCTAAATGATAAGCAAGTCTTAATACTTATTATAGCAATTCGTTTAGTGTGATAAGGCAGATGCACAGAGTAATTGCTTTTATTGCAAAGTAAGTATCAAATTGGAAACACAGACAAATCTATTTTCATGTACACCCCATGTAATTGCGATCCCGGCAGAACCAATATCGAAAACTCTTGTAAGAGGTCAGCATTTTTGTAATGTAAATCACATTTCAGCTCATTACATCAGAAACAACAAATGGTAGATAATGAAAGCATTTCATTTTTTTTTTACATCACTCGATCTTCATGCAGGGGTATGGGTGCCAATTAAGGCTAGGTGATATAAATATCTTATTTCATATCATCACCTAGCCATTAAAGGCACACTGTCCTACTTGTAGCTACTTGCTCCCTCTATATAGAAAACTTCCCCAATCGGTGCCTGTTGGTCCCCCATGATGCTCTTTTTCTTATGTTAAATGAGAGCTGAGCTAATGAGAAGTAGTAAAGCCTGCCTTTAAGGCTAGTAAAAACTGAGTAAATCTGGCAAGTAACCATTGTTTAGTATATAATAGTATTTTGTGTATCAGTTCACGACCATAAATTATATAAGCAACAGGGAATAACGGCAGGCAGAGAAAACCACGACTGTGTGGTGGACGGGAGGATCTGAGGATTCCATCCATCTTGGATTTGGAGGAGAGCGCCAAAAGACAAAATAACATATGTTTTTAAAACTCCTCCAAGCAGACAGACTTTTATGTTTTGTCAAGCTCTAGGCTAAGCGTTTGTTTGAATTTGCACAGCCACATAAAGCTATCACTTTTGACTTAGTTTTGTCTTTGTTTTTGAGTTTGAACTGAGTTTGACTTTGTCTTTGACACGTATAACTAAAGCTTACCACTAGCGTATGCGCATTACGTTCATCCCGTCTCAGCCTCATTTTCCTAAATTTGCGCCTACATGGGCCCTTTTGATTGGCTATCGCTGGCTGCCTTTTGCTCAACATTATAAGATATTAGTGCGAGGAGAAAGCTCGCGATTTTCTGTTTCATCTGATACCAAAATCATGATATTCCAGTCAAATCTTCGATTTTGTACGATTTTTTCAGCATCCTTAAAAGTTAAGTTATTTTAAGTTTAAGTCTTACCTAAGTTTTAGAAATTATCATTTCAGTCATATTTAATGTACAAACTTGTATTGGCGGAACTATTGCGCTCTCTTCTACAGTGGGCCCTCTCTCACTTAAAGTCAAAACCGCTCGAGCAGATCGACCAATCAGAGCATGTAAACTCACTGTACAGGGCTCACAAGTAAAGTTATATGTGTTTGACTAGTGAAAATACTAAAATAATTGGCTTTGCCTTTGCACAAAGGCCTTTGGAAAAGTTTGGGGCGTGTTAGCAGTAGGGGCGCTAGTCCGAGGATTCGTCTTCATATAAACGCTGACAAATGCGTCCGCAAAATAAAGATCGTCCGCATTTTGCAAACGTTTTATATTTCTGATCCGTGCATTGGCAATGATTTTCGTGATGCAGTTTACATTGACTTTGTACAGAGACTTTCACGTTATGAGTGACAAATCCTTGGGAAGACGACAACCAAAAGTAGACGGTGAACTGGGGTCATTTTCTTACGCGGAATCGGTTTTTCGCAATGCCAGAGCGCAGTTCGGGAACCTGAAACCTGCAGAGCGCTGATGAAAAAAAAGGCAGTGCAAATGCATACGATCCTTATTTTGTTAGAACGCACTTTGTCCGCGTTTACAACGAGACCCGATATCCTCACTTTTGCCAACGATCCTCATTCTTGGACTAGCGCCCCTACTGTACTGCTGGTTAGTGTTACCAATGCAATGTTTCATTTAATTTTTTTTTCTTCAACCAGACAGCATTAAAATCTGTATAAACTATTTCCATTTAGATCTAGTACCAAGAAGTCAGAATATTCCCTTTTGCATGGATGCCATATGGGATTAACTTCTTGTAAAACTATCTGTAAAAATAGCTAACATCATATTCTACAGGTGGGACAATGGTAATCACTTACAAGTAATCTTGCTCCTTTCAACGGGGGGAAATGAGGCCGTTTCTCCGTCTTTGTCTGTGTTTCTGTGACCATTTTCTCCTCTGTTATCTTTCTCTTCCTGGCAGTTTTCGGTTTCACGGAACGAAATTCTTCAGATTGCTGAGAATCTTCCATGATTTCGTTGGTAGTTTCCATCCTCGTGGCTTCCGTCGACGTGCTTGCCATGATTGCGTAATCGAAAAGGCCACAGAGTTTGTGTGTACGTACGTACGTACCGCTACGTGTAATCTGCGCCGAGCTTACGGGGAGCTCGAGCGAGAGAATTACCCTGTCGAAGTCAAAGTCAAAGTGAGCTCGCGCGATCGAGGAACAGGAAACCAATGACTCACCTCAACATTGAAGGAGTAGAAGGAGAAGCCATCACTCAACATCAGTACTCTGTAGGACAAGGAGCTGGACTCCCTGGAGGAGCTAAGTAAGAAGAGGAGGAGGAGGAGCTGGAGGAGGATAGGAGGAGCTGGAGAGAAGGTCGTCTAGAATCTATCAATCTATTCAATTCAAGTCACGTCACAAAAATAAAGGTGAAGGGGATTTAAAAAAACCGTAGACTAAACCTCTAGTCTACCTGTAATATTTGGAATAAGTATAAAGAGTCGAAAAACTAATTATTAATGTAGACCCCAACTAGCGTACTTATATTCATTGGGTCATCGCATTCCATCAGGTGGTCACGTTACACTACTTTTCGTGAAGCGAAAGCGGAATATCACGCAACCTTTTGTTGACTTGTCATGGGTTTTCATAAAGTGTCTGGTAAATTGGACCAGACCATTTGTACTATTGTAGATGAGCTGAGAGGGGTTTATTTCACAAACATTACCCCAACATTTTGTGAATAGAGGGGCATGTTTTCATGTTTGGCCCTTTAGCGTTAGGTCTTGTAGACTCCACTTCAGTTATTGATGTCTGGATAAGTGACTTGTATGATGCCGCTGTAAGTGCAATAAAGAAAAAGTTCAAGCAGTAGGACCGATACTATTGGCCTGATACACAAGACTGTCACAGTACAATCTGACATGGGAACTCAATAGCTGAAGAAGATATGTTGTTATATTGTAATCAGGACATTGTTTCCTATTCTAGCGATACACTAAATAAACTAATTAAAGAACTTCATCATTTCTTGCACAACAACTAATTATGGTTAAAAACTTAAAAGAAATGTATATTATTTACTTGATTGATGCATGGAATAACATATACATGTATGTCCTTGCACAGTGCTCTTGTTTTATTAGAATTGTTTTGTACTATTTTTAAAATATTTTTCTCCCTATATTTTTGGGTACTCCAACCCATTCGCTCAGCAGAATATGGTGGCTTTTCAAGAAGGGCCTTTTCTCAAGTTCTCTTGCAAATGTTGAGATTCAGAAATGACAACAGCTAGGGAGTCCAACGTAAACTTTAGTCTTGCATTTATTCACCAAAGAAAACACAGCCCCGGCCAATACTATAACGACGAAGCAACACTAACGCTATATGCTGTCGTCCGACCCCTGATCATAAACAAAGCTTCCACCTTATTGTAGAAAGTGTAGTTCATCAAAATAAGGAGATTTCACCACATGCAGCCATGAATTGTGATCTGCCAGAAGTAAATAACAATCTCCATTAGCAGGCACAAATTAGTGTTTCTCTCCTCTCTCTCCAATCTACAATGTCTCTCTCCCTGCTATAGCAGCTCTGGGTGCACAGACCCCGAACAAAAGAAAATCACTCATCCACTAAAACTTACAATAGGATCCCCAATCATGCCTATAGGGTATCAGTACATTGGGCAATACAGGTACCCCCAAAAAGGCGGGAAAGTAAGGCTATTGTCTGATGAGGAAGGGGGGGGGGGGGGTAGCTTACATTGTAGACTGCTCCACCTACAATTCCTTATACACTAATGCACCAATACACTATAATACATTATGGCATAATTACCTCAACATTCCATATTACAACATATTCCCCGCAATTAATGTCATAATGTTTGATAAAAATGATACATTATTACGAGCGAAATTCCAAATCGTCACCTTTCCCCGCAATTAATGTCATACTGTTTGACCGAGATTTTAGCGATACATGAAAATATAAGCAATGAAAATCTTTCTATAATACACTTCCCCGCAATTAATGTCATAATGTTTGACCAAAATGTTTTTCAGTAGTATATGAAAATACAAAACAATGTTCTTTAAAACATTATGCATAGCATTAATAACACATCACATCTTAATCTGACAAGTAAATATTTAATTCTTGTCTTCAAATTCAAAACTCTCTTCTTTTTTTTTTTTTTACTCTTGTAACGCCGATATTGGAAGCCGCAGTGGATTTCTATGCTGGCCTTTAGTTACTCGATTAGACCTCCTACGCGGTACCTCGGGACTGGGGTTCTCAAGTTGAGAGTTGTCTATCTCATCAGGTACTATATCTCCGCTCAGATTGAGAACGTCATCCGTACCATTTTCTTCATTCTCAACATTTGCTCCGTCGTGGTCATTTCCCTCATCTGGAATATATTCATCGTCACGAATGTCTACTCGCAGGTTGTTCTGATCCCCTGGAATATTCATCGGTCGATCCCACAAGAAAGTGAAAGAGGGGGTGTTCTCTTCTATAGAACGAGTCGAGGGGTGTTGTGACGTGGTATGGTCACTTCTGCTTTCCTGAACAATATGAACTGGCATCTCTTCACGTGGGTCTGGAATCAGCAACCTTCTGTTCACTACTTTGGTTGGTCCTCCTAACATTGGTCGAATTTTGTAAACATCACCCGTGTCATTTACCGCCGTGATTATGAAGGGATCTCTCAACACTTTGTCGTCAAGCTTGTGTCGACCCTCAAACGCGCACTTCTTGATCAGTACCCGGGTGCCAATGCTTAGTGTGGAACTCATTGGTAGAGCATCATGTCTGATCTTTTCACTTCTCAAGATCGCTTCCATGTTTTGCTTAGCAACCGTATGAGCATGTTGTAGCGACTTCGAATGCTCTGTAAGAAAGTCCTCATTCCAGTCTGCTTCGCTATTCCCAATTAGCTGGTCGATTGGTGTGTGCGGCTCTCTCCCATACAGGAGACGGTATGGCGATAGCCCTGTTGTTCCATGAGGGGTGCAGTTGTATAGGAAAACCAGCTGGTGGATCAGCCCAGGCCACTTTCTCCGACGATCTGGCTCAAGGGAACGAATCATGCTGCATAACGTTCGGTTGAACCTTTCCGTTTGTCCATTGCCTTGTGGATAGTACGGTGTGGTGTGTGTCTTCTCAATTCCGTACAGTTTGCATAATTCTCGGACAAGAGAGCTCTCGAAATTTCGTCCTTGATCGGAGTGGATACGTAGTGGAGCACCGTAGTGGACTATCCAACCATCGATTAAGGCACGTGCAACAACTGCTGCAGTCTGGTTCTTGCAGGGGATTGCTCGTGCAAACTTGGTGAATGCATCAGTGATTACCAAGACATCCTCGTATCCACCTTGACCCTTATCCAATTTCAGAAAATCGATTGCGATCAGTTCTAGGGGCTTGAATGCCAGCAAGTGTCGTCTTGGAGTTCGTATTGTCGGTGTTGGCGTCTTAGCTGCAATGCAGGCAAAGCACTTCTTGATGTGTGCTCTCACATCATTACACATTCCTGGCCAGAAACATCTTTCTCGCAGGATTGCTATGGTTCTGTTTATCCCTTGATGGCCCCATTGGTCATGAGCCATCTGTAGCATCTTCTCTTGGAGGCCTTTGGGAACTAACAACTGTCTTCTCTGTGGATGTTTGGAATCTGGTGGTCGTCTGTACAATACCCCTCCACAGTCTTTGAGGTACATGCGTTCTTTCATCCAGGACTTTGTCTCTCTGTTCTCGCTTTTCATTTCATCCTCTGGCTTCCATCCATCTCTTATGTATTGTCTGCTAGCTGACAGTGCATCATCTTGCTGCTGCAGAATCTCAAGTTTCTCTGTGGAATATGATGGGTATACTTCAGGAGCTGCCCGAGGTGCTTCTTCTGGCCCCTGATCACTGTTTACTGTAACTTCCACTGGTAAGACAGTAGTTACTGTCAGAGCACCGATCATCTCTCTCACCTCTTGTTCATCATTGCCAGGACAGCGGCTGAGAGCATCAGCACATTTATTGAGCTTGCCAGGGCGAAATCTGATGTCTAGCTGAAAGGGTGCTAGCTGGGCTACCCATCGTTGTTCAGTTGCCCCCAGTTGGGCGGTTTGAAGATGGGCCAACGGGTTGTTGTCTGTGTAGACGGTACACTTTGAACCTATCAGATATCCTTTGAACTTCTCTACCACCGCCCATTTCAGTGCTAACAGTTCAATCTTGAAGCTGGAGAAGTCCGGGTAGTTATTTTCAGCTCCACGTAGACTGCGGCTTGCGAATGAGATCGGGTGAAGGTGACCGTTTTCATCTGCCTGTGATAGACAGGCACCTAGTCCTTTGAGAGAAGCATCGACCTCGAGAACAAACTCTTTTCCAAACTTCGGATAGGTTAGCACTGGAGTTGAGGACAGTCTTTCTTTCAGTTTTTGAAAGGATTCTTCTGCTTTGTCTGTCCACACAAACTTTGGATCCAGCATAGTCTTCTCAGGCTTCCTCTTTCTCTTCTTTTGCGACTTCTGTCCGATTAGTGCATGAAGAGGAGCTGTCAGTCTTGTGAAGTCAGGGACAAACCTCCGATAGTACGACGCAAGGCCAAGGAAAGACCTCAACTCTGATCCATTCTGGGGTGTTGGCCAACTCTTGATTCTCTCCACCTTGCTTGGATCGACCATCACGCCCTTCTCGCTGACGATGTGTCCTAAGTGGGCAACTTCTCCCCTGAACAAGTGACATTTCTCTCCTTTCAACTTTAGACCATGCTTCGTCAACCGGGCAAAAACTTCTCCAAGTCTTTCCAAATGTTCCTCAAAAGTTCTAGAAAATACCAACACATCATCGAGGTACAGAATTAGTTTTGTGAAGTTCATATCACTGAAGATCACCTCCATCACCCTCTGGAAGGTGCTTGGACTGTTGCAAAGACCTTGCGGCATTCTCTCAAATTCGAAGAGTCCCCATGGAACACGAAAAGCGGTCAAGGGCACAGAGTCAGGATGCATGGTGATTTGAAAGTACCCATGAGACAGATCCAGAGAAGAGAAGTATCTAGCCCCATCCATGACTTCCAGGGATTCATCAATTCTGGGTAACGGGAAAGAGTCTTTCACTGTAATCTTGTTCAATTGTCGGTAGTCGATACATAGGCGTAGGGCTCCTGATCGTTTTCTAACTAAAACGACTGGGCTTGCATATGGGCTAGCAGACCCCCTGATGATCTTTCGTTCAAGCATGTCTTGCAGAAGTTCACGAACTTCTGATGTCTCGTTGGGGTTAATTCTTCGATATGGCAGGCGTATTGTCTTGTCAGAGGTCACCTTTATCTCATGAGGGATAAGATCACACTGTCCCAAATCAAACTCATCTCTGGAAAAAGCTGCTTCATGATCTGCTAGAAGTTTAGCAATCCTAGATGCCTCATGATAGTCCATCCCACATAAGCTGAGGCCATGAGGAAGCAATACTTCTGTTCCATCAGTGAAGGTAAACGTTTCCTGTGTAGTGATATCATTTGTTGGTTGGGTTTCTCCTCTGTGTTCGAACTGGCCAACATTGTCGTTGTCATCTTGAACCGATTCTGTTGTGGCAATCATTACATTACAAACATCCACCTCAAGTTGGTCCTCTCTGTTTTGAAGATGAACTTCACTTCGTTCTTCTACTTGCACAGCAGATGCCACAATTGAGTGAGGTGGTAGGATGAACTCATTTTTTCCAGCATTAATAAGGAGTAAACGTAACTCTCTATTCCCGGTAGCACAACCTTCAATCACATGAACTTGAGAACTCTCCAGCTTAGTCAGATCCTGGATGAACCAGACACTTGACTCATTGGCAGCTTCACCACCTTGAGAGGACTTCATCGCACATTCTACATGTTGTATGGTCCTGGCTGGCAACACTACCTCCAAGGCACCCGTGACAACCTCTCGTATTTGTGCATTGTCCACTCCTTTAAATTTCAAGCAGTCCTTTACTAACTGGAATTCTTCTTGAGTTTCCTCTGGTGGAAAAAAAGCTCGTAGTGCATTACATCCCAATAAAATTGGGAAGTCTTTTTGTCTAGCTCCACAAGACTCCCGGTTCACGATAAGGAACCCCACGGAAGCTTCTTTGCCGTTCAGCAAAACTCGAGTGCGGATAAAGCCTTCTACAGGAACCTTTGTTGGACCCACCCCAACAATTTTTACCAGTTTTTTCAATGGGCTGACATCTCCTGCTGCTTCCTGAAGCTGCGAGTGAAATACGTCTGAGGGTATTATCGAAGCCTCTGCTCCAGTGTCTAAGACGCAACCAATTTTCACGCCGGCAACTTCTGCTATTGCGGTCGGACTTTCTGAAACCAATTCTGTTTCGCTGTCACACATTATTTCATCTATTGTCAGCGCAGCTTCTTCCAAAGTGGTCTGTCTGGAATGTGCAAATCTCGTTTCTGTGTCAATCTCCCTCTTGTCTGTTATAGGCGTGTCGGCTTGTAGCTTATGGGAGCTTTGTCCCATGGGCTCTTCTGTCTTGTCCTGTTGTTCATTGTCCCCTGCTGTTTTGCCCTCAACAGCAGAGGAAGCTAGTTTTCCGCCTGCGGGGTGACATCCTGGTGAGGAAGGTGACGTTGGGTGGCATGTGGCGGGGATGGAGCCTGATAACGTGTTGCAGGCAAATTGAAGTTATCCTGGTTCCTGGTACCCGACTCCTGACTCCAAGCAGAAAAATCATAATTCCTCTGGATGGCATGTGGCTGGGATGGAGCCTGATAACGCGTTGCAGGCAAATTGAAGTTATCCTGGTTCCTGGTACCCGACTCCTGACTCCAAGCAGGAAAGTCGTAATTCCTCTGGCTTCTGGGTCCATCCGAGAAGTTGTAATTAGAAGCAGCAGCGGGGAATATGTTGGTAGGCATATGTGTCATGTTGGGACACTCCCTTATAAAGTGTCCCTTCTGACCACAATGAAAACATCCACTACTCACCCTCCATCTCTGAGGTTTGGCATTTTTCAATCGTGTAACCTCCCCTCTCAGCTGTTCTAGTTCAGTCATAATAGTTGTCTGTTGGTCTACCATCTGTTGCAGAAGATGTGCAGAATCTGATGTGACCACCCGTCCGACCTCGACGTCCGCTTCTCTGATTCTGGTACGCTGAGCTGTTGGAGACTCCTGGAAAAGCTGGAGTGCCTCTGCTCTCATCCTATTGAACCCACTGGGCCCATGAGTTAATTGGATGCGTCTCAACTCCCTCCTGACCCAAGCCTCACGTGCGCCATTTACAAATTGGTCACTCAAAGCTTTGTCTTTTAATTGTGCCAAAGCTTCACCTTGGGCTTGAGTGATTGCTGCCTTCTCCAGCTTTATGTATAGGCGTATCAAGGCCCGGCTGAAGTCACAAAGCGATTCCCCTTCTCTCTGTACGCGGTTATGGAACTTGCTGCTCAACGACTGTGTATTTTCCTCGTAGCCAAAACATAGTTTAAGACATGCTACAACTTCATCAAAATCACGTCTTCGGGATTCACTAAGGCACATAATTTCCTCCCTTGCCGGTCCTGCAAGGTGATCTACAAGAAGTCTGGCCTTACTGCCCATTTCCATGTTGTGTTGAGCAGTGATCTCATAGAACTCCTCAAGCCATTCCGATAGTGCAATGTCGTTTGCGTGTTGTGGTATTCCCCTAAACTTGGGCAAGTTGCTCTGGAGAATGCTCTGTAGCCCAATGGAACGACGAAAGAACTGTGACAGCATGTCCATGTCTGAAGGTTGCTCCCTTGGTGTCATAGTAGGTCGTGTGGATGATGCTGTCGACGTGGTAGTTGTTGTTGTTGTTGTCACAGTTGTTGTCGTAGATGTAGGGGCCATTTTCCTGCACTTAAATGTGTTAATTATGAAATTCAACAGGAACAATAATATTTCACAACAAGCAAACTTAAACGAACAAATCATCAATCATGTGTATCATTACATGAACATGTTCTTCAAATTCATTAATGGTCACAATGTATCTGACCGAGGCTGTTGAATGTTCACTGTCTGTCCAATGTTCACTTTTGCCTCCGGACGTTGCTGACACCAAATATCGCCAGCCAACGACGTCACGGCCGCAAGAAGTTGGAGGTTGGTCAGTATCCGTGCAGATGATCTCAGTCCAGTTGTCCCTCGCCGTCAGTCATCCCACTTCTGACACCATTGTTGAGATTCAGAAATGAAGGCAACAGCTAGGGAGTCCAACGTAAACTTTAGTCTTGCATTTATTCACCAAAGAAAACACAGCCCCGGCCAATACTATAACGACGAAGCAACACTAACGCTATATGCTGTCGTCCGACCCCTGATCATAAACAAAGCTTCCACCTTATTGTAGAAAGTGTAGTTCATCAAAATAAGGAGATTTCACCACATGCAGCCATGAATTGTGATCTGCCAGAAGTAAATAACAATCTCCATTAGCAGGCACAAATTAGTGCTTCTCTCCTCTCTCTCCAATCTACAATGTCTCTCTCCCTGCTATAGCAGCTCTGGGTGCACAGACCCCGAACAAAAGAAAATCACTCATCCACTAAAACTTACAATAGGATCCCCAATCATGCCTATAGGGTATCAGTACATTGGGCAATACAGGTACCCCCAAAAAGGCGGGAAAGTAAGGCTATTGTCTGATGAGGAAGGGGGGGTAGCTTACATTGTAGACTGCTCCACCTACAATTCCTTATACACTAATGCACCAATACACTATAATACATTATGGCATAATTACCTCAACATTCCATATTACAACACAAATATCCTACAAGTTATCCTAGTATATTATCTGTCACTGATGTTGTTGATTTGTTTCAGATAATGGCTGAGAGACATGGATTTCATGAGGCCCATTTCACCTCCATACCATGTCAGAGCAATGTTTACGGTCTGACATCCTTAGCCTACCCTGGAGGGGTCGGTAAGGCGCTGGTTGCACCCCTCAAAGATAAAGTGGTCTCGCTAGAGTACATGGCAGAGCGGGGGAAGACAGAGCTTCAACCTGTGGCCAAAGAAATCCACTTTGCTGGCATCCCAGGTCAGAATATTTGTTTATCTCACTTTTATCTTCTCTTAGTATTAGTTGGATAAAGTTGTATGTAGCATAATAATGACAGGTAATTATTCACTTTCCATTCCCTCATTTTCATAGGAAAAAGGGTAACTTATATGACTAAAGCTGTGACTAGCAATAATGCTTTAGATTAGCGAACAGCAAATTAGCAATGGATTTGGAATAAAATTTCTGATTGAATAAGAAACATTTTGAATATTATGCTTCAAGGGCTGATAGTCTGATAGATACAAGATAAGGTTATTAATCATACATCAAGTACAATCAGAGTAGATGTACCTAACTATGTGATTGGTCTAGGTTTTAGAATAGATCCTTAAAACGTTGACAGTATCTGATAGTTTTTGTCTAACAGTCCTAAGTAAATTTGTTGGTATGAGAGAATTGTTATGGTGATGTATTACTTGTTTACTGTTTCCTCATCAGATGATGCGGAGATCATCTCGATAGATTCCTCTCAGCATATCATTGAGGATGGTGGAGGATACATCATTGGTATCACATTCACTAAGGTATAGTCAACATCATATCTCATTTCATATCTGATCTAAGAATAATTTGTTCCAACTTTTATAGATCAAACAAAATTTAACCATATGTAATTTATTTGAATTTAAGCTGTCTTTGTTTAGTGTTTCTGATGTGATAACAATGTTTGATTTTAATTAAGATCTCTCTCATGTGTTCTCTTTTTGTTACTTTGATGACACTTAACGGAGACAACACTTATCACATTTTGGCTCAAATTTCTGTTTTTAAAAAAATTATAAAGGAACCCCCCCCCCCCCCTATCTTTAATCATGTACTCTGCTATTATATAAATGAAATATCTTGTAACTTTGCTTTACTGAGTTAGTGAATTTATTTTCGATCATGTCTATGATATAATTGTTGTTAATATTTTTTTTTTATAGGATGCAGAGACTGATCACCCATCTCATATACTTAATCTCTATGCACCATGGGATAAAGTATCAGAGTATGGACTTGACAGTATAGCTCGTAAGTACCTTCACTTAAAGAGATTAAAGATAAACTTGAGTTCTGGTAAAAAAAAAAGAAAATAAATTCTCACAGAATCAAACGAAACTTACACTGAATGTTCAAGATTACAAATAAATGTCATTTGCTAAACAATTTTGGTAGAAAATGTATACTTACTGAGTAATGAGCATAGAAAGATAAGGAAATCAAGGTACCGGTAAGTAACCCCGGCACCATTTGTGTAGTCCCATATACATCTTTCTGTGTACAGTGCTTGTTACTTTACGCAGACTGGGCCAAATTTATTATGATTTTGATGACTCCAGAACCTTGCAGTACACACCAATACTTACATGCTACATGATCAACTGTTTTCTGATCCATTCCACACCATTTCTTTCACAATGCAATCGCATGATCAGAACTCAACTTTATCTTTAAATAACTATACATTCTATTTTATACACCAGTCAAACCTGCTGTAAACAAAAATGAAAGAAATGTGCTTGTTTATAAAGACTACATTTTTTGTCTTTTGTGAATAGAGTTTTTCATTGTAAATTGTACTGAAAGAACAAGTATAAGTTAAGACCACATGCCCATAATGTCTTCTCTTTACTCCTTTGAGTGGTGGCTTTATACATATCTAGAACTCATTTTGCCTGTACTTTCTCATTATTTTTTATCTCCATGTACATACAGAGATGTGGACCAACATAGAGCTGGATTTCACCCCATACTATCTCGGCCACACCAAGTAAGAACCCTGACTGAGTAGATTTGACTTGTTTTACAAAGCAACCAAACATTGTTAATGGGTGTCATTATCCACACCTGAATGTTAAACTATCTAGAGGTTTATCTTTTGAGGTGTTTGCTACTCACCACCAATATATCATCCACTGTCCTTCTCAGTGGTAAAGAAGGACTACAACCCAACATTAACAACTCTCTTATTATTTTTCTTTGACTTGTTTATAATGTTTGATAGAACTTGGCCAACTACAGGAAATCTGAAAGAGCTAGGCATCTCAGAATAATTTACTTTACTCATTGGCGCATATTTAAGGTCACAAGATTGGTACAAATGCAGTGTTGGAGCATTTCCAGCAAGCAAAACATGCAGCAGTTGACTGTTAAGCATTTTCTTGAGATTCCTTGGAGACTTCTCCTTGATGATAAGTGTACCACTGCATGGTTAACACATTTATGAAACAAATTTATGTTGATTCAATGTTTTACCAATTTTCATCTCACTATTGTTATAGAGATCAATCATAAATCAATTTTTTTTTTCCCAAATTTTTTTTGATCATAGAATTCTTGAAGATGGGGAACAAGAGATAGTCTTCCTTCTGACTGGATCTGACAATCAAGTCCATCTATACAGAGAGGTATGACAATAATGATCTGTGAAGCATGACTTTTGAAGTAAGACCAGTGGATAGGCTACCAGACTATAGTGAACACTTGGCTGAAGCATGTATGATGCAACACACATCTCAGAGCAATTTCACTGTGTTATATGAAAAGCTGTTACATGTGACACATTTAATTTCTGATGTATGACAGCCTTGACAGGCACCAGATGAGATCACATTATCAAACCCCTGTTTCTACTCTGACCCATCTTGCAGGCAGTAAATTAGTAGAATGTTGGCACTTCGATCATGAATGGGCTGTATCATATTTAAAGAGTTTATTAATATTGAGATGAATGAAATAGTCTTTGATTGTAATTACTGTGTTAGAGTAATGCTTATACTTTGTGATGAAGGATGGCAAATATATAACTTAACAACTGTATTTTTGTAGGGCAATCAGATTAATAAGTTCATTCATCAAAATGTTCAACTTTTTTTTGTTTCATTTTTCTGTACAGGAACAGGTTGGTCGTTTCTCTGAGCATCCTGTGGGGAGTATCTTTCCTGAATTCAATGATTTACCATGTGTGTAAGTCCACTTAGTCAAGCTTGATTTATTCTTCACATTCTGATTAACAGATGCATAAATGATAACTGGATATTTAGTAATTGAACATTCATTCATTCTTATGAATTAGCTCAAGTATTGATCAGTTGGTGGAATGAAGTTGTACACTTGTACTAAGGCAAAACAAAAAAAAAATCATTTGGTTGTCCTCGACCGCCCGCTCGTCATTTTCGGGCCGCTCGTATTTTTTTTTTTTTTTTTAATATTTTTTTTTTTTTTTTGTTATTCAATTTTTTTGGGGGGAGCAATCGTAAATGCCAAACATACCATTTTATGCATTTGCAAGGATCAAAATGCATCCCGTTGCCAGTTTGGTCTCTTCAGTACGCAATTAGGTATTTATTGAACTTGCCATTTTTATTTTTCTATGTCAAAATGTCGTTCATTCAAATCAGGTTCTGAGCATTCTTAAACTCATTTTAAAGCCCATCTGTACTAGTTTACAGGAGGGATTAGACCACCCTGCAAGGTCACTGGACAGGTGGTTATCTCATCGAATCAGCTCTCAGTTAATATAAGATAAAGAGGATAATGGGGGACCAATGGTCACCGATTAGGCATTGTTTGCTACATAGAGGGCGCAAGTAGCAATAAGTAGTACAATGGAGATTTAAAAGGTGTTGTATTTCAAAGCCCAAAATACTTTCTGTGTTGGTCTTGATATTCATTGTACATTAAACTAGTCTTTTACCATATTAAAGTGTTTTATAGACTTTGTTTGGTTAAATGCTTGACAATCCCAATGAATTTTTTTTTTATGGAAAAAAATTATTTAAAGAAAAAAAAAAAGAAAAAAATAATAATATCTGCCCGCCCGCCCCTCTCCAGAATAGCAATCGAGGACAACCAAACAATTTTTTTTTTTGGCCTAATCATAGGAAAGACAGGAATAGCATATACATGTATTTAGAAATAAGAAGTATCACCAGGGGGGTGTTTCATAAAGACGAAGATCGACTTATGTTGGACTTGAACAATGGCAGGCCATTCCTGCCACTGGTTGATCTCACCTTTGGTCTCTCAAGGGACGTCACAAATCTACAGAATTTACATTTTGATAGTTTTGATATAAACTCAAGTTATTTAAGACTTTGACTTAAACCCGATGTAAAATAAGATGGAAAAACCTTAGAAATTATGATCTTTAGATAACATTTTTTCCTTCAATAATTATCTATCAAAAAATGTAAATTCTGTAGATTTGTGACCACGGTTTGTACGTCCCTTGAGAAACCAATGCCAGGAATGGTTACTGGAACTAGTGGCATGAACTGCCTGAATAGTTCAAGTCCAACTGAAGTCAATCTTAGTCTTTGTGAAACACTCCCCTGGCATTCATTTAGAGCATGGTTAACCAACTTTACCTGAAAGTTGGAAAAAGCATAGAAGCTCATTCATTATTTTATGGTTGGTAACATTGCAAAAATGATCAAGGGGCATCAAGCTTCTTGCCGAAGGTATTGAAGACATGCTATCCCAAACAGAGATGTACATGATAACAAGTGATTGTGCTGGATATTAAATTAGAAATGGGCTTTGGGTCTACGTTAGTGTTCAGATCCAGCAATATTTGATTTTGAATTGATTTATATGTGTTACAGTGCATTATGGTTGGACAGTTGGAATCTTAAAGGCTGCAGACGGTTGAGCGTTGTTGGTTGTCGTAGCGGTTATGTCAGACTTGTGTTAGTCAACACAAGAAACAATGGTATGTCTAATGTCTTCTTTTTTCCTCCAGTTTTATTTATATCCTCTAATAAAATAAGTCTTTAATATAATAACATGTATTAACAGAAAGAATTTTCCTGGTAGGAATTTATTCCCTGAATGCTTTTAGCACCTCAGGACACTTGGGGGTATCTCCCAAAGACTAAGATTGACTTTAAGTTGGACTTGACTATGGCAGGCAGTTCATGCCACCGTTTGCTCTCACCATTTACTGGCATTGGTCTCTCAAGGGACGTACAAATCGTGGTCACAAATCACAGAATTTACATTTTTTGATAAATCATTATGGAAGGAAAAAATATTATCTAAAGATCATAATGGTGAGAGCAATCGATGGCATGAATGGCCTGTCATAGCTAAGTCCAACTTATAGTCGATCTTAGTCTTTGTGAAAAACCCCCCTGGACTTAAGCCAGGGTAATAATATTACTTTGTAGGCACCTTGAGCATCCCCTGGGACTGATACTTGCCCAATATGAATGTAGCTGTTAGTATATTGTTATCCATGATCAGCAAACAATCTGTTCACTAGTCTTGTCTTTTGTATGTGGATGTTAAAGATACTGAACATTGCTGGTAACAGTTAAAAGGTTGAAAAGATAAACTCCCTTTGTTTTATAATATTTGGATACATGTATTAAGGGTACAGCACAACCCTATTGGCCATTAATGTTTGCTTTAGGAAGATTCTTTCATTCTACTTAAATGGTCATATGGTAACTGTTCCTGAAGGCATATATTCTGATTTTATATACATATGCTTGTAGAGTTTGGCTCAAGTCTTCATAAAATTGATAATCAAGATATTTATGATTCATTCTTCAGAGGTTATGAACCAGTGGGAGATGAACCATGATAGCGCCATCACGTGTTCCCAAATCTTCACATCGTCTACTCACATGGAATCAGCATCATCTTGGCTTGAGAGGAGAGAAGATGGAATCAAGGAGGAGGAGGAGGAAGAAGATGTTGTTGATGATACAATCTTAGATGAAGACGTTAATCTTCTTATCACCAGTGCTGTAGAAGGTGCTGTTGTTTACAGGTATGTGTTACGGTGATGGCTTCTTGTACAGCCTCATTATCCATTTATATTGCATACTCATGTCATTTACCTAAAAAAACAACTGCATTCAAATGCTAATGTTTTGTAATCAAGAACCCATAGGTTTAGAGTACTTGACTATCTCTCCCACACACTTTCCATGAACACAAGAATACCCCAAGGCTGTGTACTGTCACCTATATATTTTGTACTGTTTCCATGTTGTATGGGGTAGTGCAGTCAAAAATAGATCGTGTAATTGACAACCACAGACCTAGTGAATTATTAAAACCATCATAATATTTTAATACTATTCCACTAGATAGCCACTCCATGCTGTCTTAGCTAAGGCCATGACAAATACAATGAGTGTATTTCCTGTGATTACAAATAGAAGTTTCTTATTTTTCATTTAAAGCCCCACTGCACTACTTATAGCTACTTGCGCCCTCTATATAGCAAACAATGCCAAAGCGATGACTGTTGGTCCCCCATGATCCCCTTTTTCTTATTTTAATTGAGAGCTGATTTGATGAGATGACCACCTGTCAGTGACCATGCAGGGAGGTCTAATCCCTCCTGGCCAAACTAGTGCAGATAGACTTTAAAGGGATCCGGTGACTTTGTCTCAGCTCCTGAAACAAAATCCTGGATTTAGCTCATGCTACAATGATAATTATAAACCTTTAGGTCACTCAGTCAGGAACCCCATGACTTTTACAAGCTGGTCACCTGTTTGATTATCGAGATATTTATGATTGGAAATCGAAACCAAAATATTGCATCTGACTGGTGACCTCCACATTATTTGTTGTTCTTTTTCTGTATGTATGAAGTTCAGTCTTGATGCAGTGCCATGAGAGATTTGTATGTTGTCATTGAAAAAGCAGAAATAATAACTGTGGATATTGCACTATAAGAAAAGAGAAAATTTGAGAAAAAAATTATTGTCATGTTTATTTTTTGTACCCGTACTTCTTTTTCAATGTACCAGTACTTCCTTTTTTTAAGTACAAATGATCAATTTGTAATTGAAGCCACACATTAAATATGCAGTATTTTTGTGGTTTAGAACCAAGTAATGCAGTCTGGTGAAAAGATTTTATTAGCAGTATTACCTGATCAGGTAATCTAGATGATAGTTCAGGTATGTGTGAATGACAAATTTTTCATCATTTTGTATAAGTCTTTTTCTTCTCTTTTTCCCTCTTGTATTATTTTCTTCTCCTTCACTTTCCTCATCTTTTTATTCCCTCTCTTTGTCCAGAAATGTATTGAAGGAAGGATTTAAGAATCAGACAGTGCTTCCACAAAGTGACTTGTTTGACTGTGCATTGTGTACATGTGTAGCAGACTTAGACTGGGATGGCCAGAATGAGCTTCTCATAGGCACGTATGGACAGGTAGGTCCATCATGTTTTCACTGGTCAAGTGCCCACACTTTTTTGTGGTCAAATTTGCCGACCAATATAATGTTTGATGTGATCTTCTAAGATCTTCTAAAAAGCATACTAATATTTTACTTTATCAGTGCATAAAGTATTGTTAAGGTTACTTAGATCAACTAAATTTCAGTCTTGGTCACAGTAACATTGAACTAAACATTTAATGATTTTGCTGAAACTATACCGAAGCTGTGATATCATAAAAATCTATTTTTAGAATTTTTCAAGTTTTTCTTCATTTTCTGAAAGAGCATCAAAATAAAGTCCAAATGTCGAAAACCAATTGAATATGTTAAGTAATGGCTAAGATATGGCCATCTGAATAAATATATGTCCTATAGGAACTCAGTGTTATATTGCTCTGGCTCCTAATGTTATGAACCAGAGCAATATAACACTGAGTTCCTGTAGGAAATCTTTTTATTCAGATGGACATATCTCAGCCAATACTTAACATATTCAATTGGTTTTCGACAATTGGACATTATCTTTGATGCTCTTTTGGAAAATAAAGAAAAAATTGAGAAATTCCCAAAATAGATTTTTGATGACATCACACTTCACCACTCTATATGAAATGGATAAAAGTAAGATTTAGGAGATATTTAACGTGGCACAGACAGATTTTCTAAAACTTGACAGCCTACTAGCCCTTTTGGAGGAGTAGGAAATTTGACTTCAAATTCTACTGGTTAGATCCTTTTCAAAATCAAATTTCATATGTGTTGAATAAGAATTATAACAAGAGCATATTTGATTATTGGTTTGGTAACTTACAAGTAGGCTACACTGTACTTCCAATCCAAGAGTACGAATGTGGTTGAAATCATTTATAGGTCCTCCTAGTTAACAAGTCAGAAAGTGCTTATGTCACAATTGATATGTTTATTTATTTATAAAGTCATATAAGCATTTGTAAATAAATGTTTTATCTACTTGCATAGGCACTCTTGGCTTACAAGTATTTCCCCCCTGAAAGTGAAAACCTACCAAGCACTGAGAATCAGGTTGTATCAGATAACAGCCTTCCTGAAGAGATATCAACTAAAGAAGATGAGGGATCTACTAAAGAAGATGAGGGAGAAGGAGGAGGAGGAGGACATGGTCATTATGAGTTACTCTGGTCAAGAAGCTTTGCCCATCCACTTTTAGCATTAAATCATGTTGACCTTACTGGAGATGGATTGAAAGAGGTCATAGTATTATCTACCAGAGGAGTACATGTTCTCCAGGTTTGTATGGTAGCTTTGAAATTCCACTGTCTACATGTAGAATCAAAATGGATATATTACTAATTTTGATTCTAATTGGAACATTTGACTGCCATATTGTATGAATACAAATATCCACAGTGGTGTTGGATCAGAGGTAATACCTGTCTTGAAATTCATGACAATTATACAAATATAACTTTATCAATGACAGGCACGATAGTTATCGCCTGCTTTTATGTTAAGCTGCGTATACATAGGTTTATTGCTCATAATATTACTGTGATGTTGAAAACAGAAATTTGGTAGGGATAGGGATTAGGAAATTGTTTAAAGAAAATTTGACACGCTCAGGGTCTTATAGACTATTCAAAATCGGCTTTAACAAAGAAGTTACTCTAAGGTCAAAGTTTTCCTCTTGTTAAAAATGATTTTGACCCAGGATTGGGTTTAACTGAATTGTTAGAATACCAATTATGAGTAAAATGTAAGAACACAATGTCGTTATGACGTGGACATTGGCATTATGAAAATCACCTTGTTACATCACGTATCATGATATATCAGGGTAAACTGAAAAAACCCAAAGAATATGAAGAGCTAGGAACATAAAAATTACCTTTTTATATCAGGTACAGTCAAATCTGCTTCAGCGACCACCTGTCTACAAAGACCACATTTGTTGTTTCCCTTGTAAATGGTTTCTCATTGAAACATGTACTCAAAGAACATGTCTACAAAGGCCACTTTTTGTATTTCCTTTGGGCGGTCGCTATAGACAGGTTTGAATGTATTTTGTTATTTTAGAGCTCTTTATATTGAATTTCCATTGTATAAACTTTTTGTCCTATCCCTTCTTCTTCCACAGCATAATCTAGACAAGGCTGCTCAAAGATGTCTAGATAGTTTGAAACAACTGGATGGAGATGACCCAACGTGATTGAATATTCCAGCAATGAACACTCTGAATAGTGCACATGCATGGAATTTATAGGCCTCTGTACTGAAATATCAATTATTCGCTGAGACGAAGCTTTGCTCTAATCGAAGGAAGAAAGACTTCAAGCCGAGAGCAATCAATACCAGTTCTTATATCATATTGGAGAGATGAAATTTGAGTGGACAGTATCATGAAACAAGATCAGATGATCATTGGCAAGTGATCTACAGGAACTCTCCACTGTCTTTAAAGGCATCGTTTAACAATGTTAAATCTGAGATGCATGGTCCTACATGTTATCAGTGTCTGTGATATGGTGTAATATTGAAGCCCTAAAAAAAATAGTGCTTCAAAATGATCATGGAGTGCCTCAAATAAGTAACAAATCTTGGAGTGACCGGTTTTACCATACACATTTCCCAATAGACTGTAGTGTTATAAAAACTGTAAGGAAAACAAATTCTGAAATTTCTTATTCCTATCATAGATATCTTGATAATCAGACAGGCGATTGGCTTGTAAAAGTCATTGGATTCATGTATGACCTAAAGAATCTGAGACAAAGTTACCTTATCCCTTTAATGCATCAAAGGTTTTGCGAGATTGAGTGAAACGTATGAGCCATGTACCTGTACCTTAGTCTTGACAAGACCGGTTTGAAAGCATAGTTTGGGGCTGACTTTGATATGGAATGTGTTTATACCAATTAGTCATATCATATGCCATAGATTGTAACTGGGATATAATACATGTCACTTCTTAGTCGTACGATGTGAGAAGGAAGAAGGGAGGAAAGCAACAGCTAATGTCAAACCAGAACTTTCCAGTTCAAGAAAAAAATTATGCATATTTCATGTTGCAAAAATGGCCAATTTGCAAAAATTTTATGTTGTGAATGTTCATGGTTTTACAGTAGTAAGAGAAAAAAATTAAAGTTTTTCTGGTATGAACTTCGTCAAATACATGTACCGGTATATATATTTTAATAGTCTCACTTTCACCCTCATACTGGGGTAAGACGTATTTTTATTAGTATAACTTTTCTATTCTGAGATATGTATTTCAATTTTTGGTTTTGCACAAATATATCTCACATTATCTGTGTGTGATAGAGTTTATATATGTACTACCGGTATGTAACAAATTTAGCTCTTGGTTTTATTTTATAATTAAATACTTTTAAACAAAAATCACAATTCCATTCATTTGTTTAGGATATAGATTCCAAATTTGGAGGCTTATCATGAAAGGCTAAGTGACTTTGATAAAGATGGTTCATCTGATTATCATAAACTGTTTAAAAGAATGAAATCATAAAATGTCATATTGAGATCTTCATGCACTGTGAAGAAGTAATATTATGGGGGCTCTATATGAACATCAGAAAACTGGGGGGGGGGGGGGGGGGGGTTTGGATTTTTAAAGATTTTTTAAAGCAATTTTGTTAGTAAATTTTGTAATAAAGCATAGACTTACAAGACAAAAACATCTAGGTAATGGATTGTATAATGATTGAAATAAAAAAAATTATATGAGATTGTGGGTGAATGAAATAAGATGCTTTTTTGATGTTGCTTGATGTCCTGGCATAAGCTTACAGCAGCCTGATTTATTTACATCTTGAAAAGAAAAATCCAATTAAACCCTCTATCCTAAACCTACCTCACAACAATAGTATAAATTGAATGGCTATATGCCATGTTCTTTTTTGGGGGGTGCTAATCTGTGCATACATGTACAAAATGTAATCAGTATATTTATGGCTGGCTAAAGAAAAACAAAATATGTGTATGTTATGTATACAGTGAGTGTTAAATCAGTGTTCACTGATGTTCTTATACATGTCCTTGACAATAGGAAACGGTATGTTTATGTTCAACCAAGGTTCAACGTATGTAATACATGTAGCCATTATGAGTGGTTGTGCATAATACTACCTGCAGAATGATTGTTATCTGATCATAGGAGGCAATCAGTGTAACCATAAGATGCAGGTTGAAATTCACAATTAATGCTTTTCTGTCTAAATCTACAATTCTGTCACTTTATGAAGGACGAATAATAAATTTCATGATTGAACATTGGGCTTTGGTAGAGAAACTGTCAACGATTATTCTTTTCTTTTTTTTCAAACTGATTTGATCAAGTAAAAACTAGACAATATGTAAAATATGTACATGAAAGTAATGATATTAAATGACTATTTTTTTTAATTTATCTGTATGTGTTTGTATTATATCTAACTGATTCTGAATATAAGTGGTTTTTCATGAATATAGTTAGTCTCATCATATTAATCCACCTTACTTTATATATGAAAAGAAAACTATTGACTGTTGTGTCAGGCTGGGTCACATCATTGACAAAGCCTGTAGCTGAAAATTTCAGAGATAATAATTTTGTATCAAGATCGAAAGTTTAAATCCTAAACATAAAAAAGATAGTCTATACATTAAAGCTAATATTAGGATCTGGTAATGGAATTTGCATTTCCCAACAAAATTGGCTTGGAAGTAATATGAGTTGTCCATCATGCTGTAAGAGCTGTTACCCTCATGTAATAAACTGTTGTTCATGGTGTTCATTTTTATTTTATTTTTATTTATTTTATTTCCAGGCAAGATGATAACATACAAAATATGACAAGGTTGACAAATGATATAACATAAACATAATGATATTTAGCACCAGCCAATGTCTGAGGATCACCTAAAAGAATTTAAAAATTCTGTCTAGAGGCTATCCACATTGGCTGGTGCATACATAAAACAAATATAAAGATAAGGTCAACATAATTTATAAATGAATGTGTAACTAAAACTAACAATAATATACATGTAGATCAAATACTGTTAGGATTATTATCAAAAAGGATTGAAATAAGAGCTGTTCAAACTATGCATTTTTAATGCAGAAAACTGTCTGTTTATACAGTCATATTTATACGATAATATTGGAAGTTAGCAAAACTGTATAACATTATTATTAATTTGATTTGATTTGAAGTTATCCAAATTATGGAAAACTATTATAAATATGATTGGAAGTTATCAAAATTGTGGAACATTATCATTGATATGATTGGAATTTATCAAAATTGGGGAACATTATTATTGATTTCTAGACAAATTTAAAAGACATAGTAATCAAAGTAAGAAGGATGTGATAGAACACATTAATAGAGAACGTACATTAAATACAAACTTAATAATAACAACATACACATTAAGAAACCAATAATACATATCAAAATGCAGAAAACTGTCTGTTTATACAGTCATATGGATACAGTAACATTGGAAGTTAGCAAAACTGTATAACATTATTATTAATTTGATTTGATTTGAAAAAACATTAATGTGTTCATAATGTGTATACGATGACTGCGAGGTGGACACTCGTTTACAATTCAAGTAATAAGGGTATGAATCTTTGACAAGTGTACATGTGTACCTTTTTCTTCTTTTTAAAGACAATTTGAATGTTAACTGATTTCTTAGGGAAGTATAATAATAATAATAAAAACGTTACTTATAAAGCGCTTACCACCGAAGTCTCTAAGCGCTATACACACAAAATAGACTGATATACAATTACATCTTATACAAAACTAAAAATGCAAATAAACCTACAAATAACAATACATATGGAATACACATCAAAGTGAACAGAGATAATTAATCATGCTGAGCATATATCACTCTTCTCTATTCTCATTTTCTTTCCTTCTATCCATCATAGCGCATAGGGGTATATTTGTGATATGGGTTATTATTAAACTTGTCAATGTTCATTGTTATTCAACTTATTTTTTCATGCACAAAATAAACACAGATTTAACATGAAAATCATTGATTTACAATGCAACTTAAAACTACGGTAGTCTAGATATATATATATATATATATATATACTAATAAGATACATTACAAGATGTGATGATGATATAATGATGGGGATGACGATAATGATGATGGGGATGCGATGATGATGATGATGATAATGACGATGGTGGTGGATCCATGATTCTCTGACACAAGTCTAACAATCCTCTGACAAGAAAAGTTTTTCACATTTTCAAGTAGGCCTACCTACCTTAAAAGTGGAGTATTAATGATGAGGTAGAGCGTAAATTGGCGTGGGGTCCAGAGCCTGAGCCCCGGCAAAAAGTGAGGGGGGGTGAGCTCGAGCCTCAGAGCCCAGCCGTTCTGCAGGCTCTGACATGAAGGCTTCTAAATAACCATATATTTCGCCCGTCTGTAAATTTGGGAATTTCTAATTTTCCAACAAACGCATTAAAAAGGTATGACTTAGTCCTACACAAAAATTGAGAAAAAATACTGGAAAATCGTGCCATTTCAGCAACATTTGTAAATCACTGGTATCAAATAAGAAATTTTCCCTCCCCCATCAGTACGCCAGCGTTCAGGGGCTCATGTCTTCTCACCTCTATAACAAAAAACACACACGCTTACCCATCCTCTCACAATATTTCCACGATGTGCACGTATCGCTAATAATTATTTAGGAAATTTAATTCCTGTTAACTTTTCTTTTCTTTGAATGGAATTTTATGTGATTTTATTCAGGTTTTTATTATTGTTTAGTTCTTTGGGGTTAAAAACACAAACCATCTTTACTCCTTTACTGCTTTTTTTTTTTGGGGGGGGGAGGGGGGGGGGCAAAAATGTGTTTTGCCCCCTGCCACCCCACTTCCGGCGCCTATGCAACACATACAACACAGAGAGAGAGCCCTTTTTCTTCAATATCAAACTTTTAATTCTATGCATGCACTTCGATAAATCATATTTATCATTTTTGAAGATTCTTTTATTATCATTATTTTTTAATATGATTATTTTTTTTACATCATTTTCATGATTAATTCATTAATATATTTTTTAATAATCATTTATTATATTTTTTTTATATAGTTGTCATGATTATCATTATTAAACATCTAGAATAATTATTTTCATTATAATCTTTTTTGTACAATTTTCATTATAATTAATTTATTATTAATTATTGTTATCATTATTATCATACCATACCTTGGATATGATACCTTGGAAGTAGGCATGAGGATTAAACTTGTCCTTCTTCATTATAATGTTACCTTGTATATTTTATTGGACATCATGATATATAGGTCCTATGAGTATGACATTAGTAAGATCATGTAATGTGGTATATAATATAAAAATGTGAGAGATAGAGAAACATTATTTTCATGTAACAAAATACCATATCAAAAAGAATTTGTGTAGATCTAAGTCTAGCTATCGTACTCTAGTATAGCATAAGCAGAATCCGAAGGAATGTACAAATATGAAGATAACGGCTCCCTCCCTGGATAAACTTCTTTTTCGGCTAGAACTTTGCCCGTGTCGAAGGTCGTCTGTCATGCATATTCATTACCAAAGCTGGCTCAACGATCCCGACGCGTGCCAAG